TAGCGGCGGTGGAACAGCGCCGGCGCGCGCTGCAGCAGATGCGCGAGCAGTCTGCCGCCGCCATCCACGCGCTGCTCTTCCGCGGAGGCGCGTCTTCCGCGGGCGCGGCGGTCGAAACGGGGTTCGGATCTGGGGGATTGGCGGGGCTGAAGGCGGGCGCGGGGGGAGGGCTGGCGGGGAGCAAGCGGAGAGGGGGACCCGCGCTCGCGCACCACCTGCAGCAGACCGCGCAGAAGATGCGCGTTCTGGGGGATGGGCGGGGGATAGGCGGAGGGGGAGTGGGGGCGGTGAAGGAGGAGGCTGAAGGGGAGGGGGGAGGGGAAGGCGGAGGGCTCGTCGCGTGTGGGCCGTCGGATATTGCCATGTCAGCATCAACGGTCGCCAAGAAGCGACGAGTTTTTTCCCATGTAGGCTGGTTGGATGGAACAGGACGTTGAGATTGAGAGACCATCCGATCCAACGGTGGAGAGAGGCCGTTGTGTATCTGCTGCTCGTCCTGTCTTACTCATTTCTTGGTTTGACCTTGCGTTGCTTTTTTTTCATTCTTTCCTTCTTTTCCGTCAGACAAATCAAGTAGCTTTTCATCCAACGGGTGAACAGTAGCCACTCAGCTCTCGATTACTCTAACCCCCTCTTTCTCTCTGCTCCTCTCCAGTTCGACGACCTACAGGAGTGCTACCTGCACCACCGCCGCCAGGCAGCGCACTCAGCTCCCTCGCTCACCCTTCTGTACTCATCCCCACCGCTCCCCACCTCCTCCAGTTCGACGACCTGCAGGAGTGCTACCTGCACCACCGCCGCCAGGCAGCGCATGCGGCCAAGCCCGCAGTAGCAGCGCCGGCAGCAGCAGAGGCGGGCAGGCGCGGGGACACAGAGGGCGGAGCGGTGGGGCAGGTGGATCTGGGCATGGGCCTGGAGGATTTCCGGCAGGTGCTGGCTGCGTTCACGCGGTTCAGCCGTGTGAAGGTGGTGGCGGAGCTGAGGCAGGGCGACCTGTTTCACTCCTCGAATATCGTCTCGAGCATTGAGTTTGACCGGGACGACGAGTTCTTTGCGACTGCCGGGGTCTCCAGGCGAATCAAGGTCTTCAACTTCTCGCAGGTGGGTGGGTGGCCGTGGGTCTTCAGATCACGGTGGGTGCTGTTGTGCTGGTGGCGTTCACTCGGTTCAGCCGTGTGAAGATGGTGGCGGAGCTGAGGCAGGGTGACCTGTTTCACTCTTTCAGCATTGTTAGCTTAGCAGCATCGAGTTCGACTGGGATGACGAGTTTTTTGCGGCGCACATCGCCCCATTCCCGCTCCCCTGTCCCCCCTGCCTCCTCTTCGCCTCCTCGCCCCTTTTCCCTGACGCTAACAGGTCATTAGCGAGTGACGTGCACTGCCCGGTCGTGGTAATCTTTTTTGAGAATTCTCAAAAGAGAATTCTCTAAAAAGAATTCTCAAAAGAGAATTCTCTAAAAAGAATTCTCAAAAGAGAATTCTTAAAAGTGATTTCTATATAGACGTGCACTGCCCGGTCGTGGAAATGCCAACGCGTTCCTAGCTGAGCTGCCTCTCCTGGAACCCCTACCTCAACGCGCACATCTCCTCAATTCCATTCCCCCCTCTTCCCTCCGCTTCCCTCCCTCCCTCCCTCCACAGGTTGTAGGCGAGTTGGCAGACGTGCACTGCCCGGTCGTCGAGATGCCCACTCGTTCCAAGCTGAGCTGTCTGTCGTGGAACCCCTACCTCAAGGCGCATATCGCCAGCAGCGACTACGAGGGCATCGTGACCGTATGGGACGTGGGAACGGGGCAGAGCCTTCTGGAGTATGAGGAGCACGAGAAGAGGGCCTGGTCGGTGGACTTTGCACGGACTGAACCGACCAGACTGGTGTCTGGCAGCGACGATGGAAAGGTAAGAGGTTGGGGGGCTGCAAGGGCATTGTGACCGTGTGGGACGTGGGCACGGGGCAGAGCCTGCTGGAGTATGAGGAGCACGAGAAGCGCGCCTGGTCGGTGGATTTCGCACGCACGGAGCCGACGAGGCTAGTTTCTGGGAGCGACGATGGAAAGGTAAGAGGTTGGGGGGCTGCAAGGGCATTGTGACCGTATGGGACGTGGGCACGGGGCAGAGCCTTCTGGAGTATGAGGAGCACGAGAAGCGCGCCTGGTCGGTGGATTTCGCACGAACAGAGCCGACGAGGCTAGTTTCTGGGAGCGACGATGGAAAGGTGCGCAAGCGATTGCTGACTGGGTATATGTGCGTGTCAGGAAGTGGGATGCGGGGGGGGAGATAGGGACGTGGCGCTGCCCAATTTGCTATGAGCAGCTGCTGTGGTCCGAACTGTTCGTGGATGGATTAAGCGAGTGCATATGTATGTGTTCTCATATGATACGTGCTCATGTATTTGTACTCGCTAAATCCATCCACGAACAATTCGGACCACAGCAGCTGCCTATATCAAATTGGGCATCATCAGACCCTTTTGACGGTCTTGGCCAAACCCTAGTTTAGGCAGAGGCAAGTCGTGAGGTCAAACGTAGCGTCGTGGTTGCAATTGTTGCTCTGCCCTGGTGCCTGAAGTGGACTTCGGTGTCTGGGGGTGATGATGGGAAGGCGCGCGTGAGTGAGCGACGGCGTGTGTGCATGCGTGCGTGCATGTATTTGTGGTTGTAATCCGTGTTGCTGAATGTGCTGAACGTGTCCAGGCGAATCAAGGTCTTCTCTTCCGCTATCTCCCTTCCCCCCATCCTTTCCTCTCTCTCCCCCCCCCCCCCTTCCTTTTTTGTTATCACAGGTGAAGATCTGGTGCACGCGGCAGGAGAGCAGTGTGCTCAACATAGACATGAAGGCCAACATCTGCTGCGTCAAGTTCAACCCCGGCTCAGCCAACTTCATTGCGGTAAGTGTTTCTTCTTTCGCTTTCCTTCCACAAGCTTTTACACAAGCATTTTCTTACAAAACAATACAAGTTTTCTCCTTGTTTTACTTGTTCCCCTTCCCTTTCGTTTTTACTTGTTTTACTCCTTAGCTTTCAACTTATGTGCGTGCAATCCCTTCAGGTGGGGTCAGCGGACCATCACATTCACTACTACGACATGAGAGCACCAGCTATCCCTCTCCACGTGTTCACCCTCTCTTCCTGTCTTCCCTTCCATTCCGCTGGCTTTCCCTTCCATTCCGCTGGCTTTCCCTTCCATTCCGCTGGCTTTCCCTTCCCGTTTCGCTGGCTTTTCAGGTGGGGTCAGCGGACCATCACATTCACTACTACGACATCAGAGCACCAGCACTGCCTCTCCACGTGTTCAGCGGCCACCGCAAGGCTGTGAGCTACGTGAAGTTCCTCTCGCCCTCGCAGCTCGCGTCCGCCTCCACTGACAGCACTCTCAGGCTGTGGGACGTGCACTCCCATGCGGCGGTGAGTTGCCCTCCAGTGCTCTCTTGCACTCTCCTCCTCTTACCCTCATCCGTCTTGTTGATTATTTTTCACGCATCCTGTCTCCATGGCACGGCAATGCCTTCAGTTTTTGAGGCGCCTCAAAAGTATTTTAGATCTTTCACGCAATCTCTCTCCATGGCACGGCAAGGTCTTGAGCACTTGTTTGAGGAGCACCTTTCCGCTCCCTTCCTCCCTCTCGCCTTTTCATATCTGCACGTTGAGGGGCCACACCAATGAGAAGAGTTTCGTGGTCGACTTTGTCAGTGCTTGAAGCGTTTCGGTCTGTATATCACCTGCTTACTTTCCCTTGTCCTCCTGCGCTTCCTCCCTCCCTCCCTCCCTCCCTCCCTCCCTCCCTCTCTCCCTCCCTCCCTCCCTCCCTCCCTCCCTCCCTCCCTCCCTCCCTCCCTCCCTCTCCCTTTTTCAGATCCGCACGTTGAGGGGGCACACCAATGAGAAGAACTTTGTGGGCTTGTCGGTCAACAGTGACTATATCGCATGCGGCTCTGAGACGAACGAAGTTTACATCTATTACAAGGTATAAATGAGAGGCATTGTCTGTCAACAGTCAGTAGACTTTCGCATGCGGTTCTGAGAAGAATGAAGTGTCCATCATTAACGCTTCTTACATGATATTAATGAGAGGCATGTGGCATGCCATGACATGCTATGTCATGTGCCATGTCATGCTATGTCATCTGCCATGTCATGCTATGTCATCTGCCACGTCATGCTACGTCATGCTATGACATGTGCCATGTCACGCTAGATTACATCTCAAATGCATGTAATAATGTCTATTTTTTAAGACTCCATGGGTCACAGTTGCAAACTCAGTCCGCATCAGATTGCCATCCTCGGTGTCTCTCTGCTTCAGGTGTTCAGGCACAAAGTGTGCTTCACGTCGCCTGCCGTCCTCCCAACCCTTACTCCTTCACCGTTTGTGTTCTTCTTCCCTATTCCCTCTTGCAGGCCATGTCCAAGCCCATGGCAGTACACCGATTCACCAATTCCGACCCTTTTACCGGGGAGGACAGTGACGAGGATACAGCACACTTCATCTCTGCAGTGTGCTGGAAAGGTGGAGGGGGAGAGGGAGGCGGAGCAGCGGCAGGAGGGGAAGGGGGTGGGGGACAGCAGCAGGAGGCAACTATGCTAGCAGCAAACAGTCAAGGGACTATCAAGGTGTTGTCTCTGGCGCCTTAGGGTCGACAGGTTTCTTTCCTGGAGTTTCGAGTGCGTTAGTATGGTACCGTGCATGTACTCTCTAAGCCAAGTGCTCATGCTGGCTCCTTAGTATCAAAGAATCTAATGTCAGTGCATAATTGCACATATGCACATTTGCTTCCCTTTTGGTGGTAGATGTAACATGATTACAGGCAATGGTGCTGTTAAGCACCATTTTGAAATGTGAATGTAATAATGACCTTAACATGATATACATGAAAAACGGTAGTGTGTACTCTGGTCTAGATTAGACCCCAAAAAGGCCACTCACTCGTGAAAAGGTTCTCATGAGAGGGCCATCATTTACACATGAGAAAAGTGTGTAGGAAAAGCAGTACAGCTCGTGATTATCTCTAAGATTTTGATGCTTGGAATGAATCCCACCGTTGAAGTCGAAGCTTTTTGGACTCCTCATGCCGCCTCGCCGCCAGTTCCTTGAGCTTCTTGAGCAATTTATCCGCGTTTTTAGCCTCCTCCTTTGCCTTACTAAACGCCTGCTCTGCTTCCACAGCTTTCTTTTCCAACTCCTCAAGCACGGCTTTATTCTTCTGTGCCAACTCCATCGTTTCTTTCCGATAGGCCACCGCCTGCCGCAAACGATCCTCCCTCAACGTAATTTTTTCAACTGCCCGTCGCGATTTCCGGATCATTTCCGCAAGCACCCGTGCGCCTTCTTCGCTGACCGCAGTCGCGAGATCCAGCGCCTGCTGCGCTTCCTCCGACTCCCGCACGTATGCGCGCTTGCGCGCAACCTCCCGCTCCGCCGCCACTTCTTCCGCCACTTTCCGCTGCTCCACCAGAAGCTCCGCAATCTGCGCGGCTCGTTCCTTAGCTTGGCCCACGTCTTTCTCCGCCTCTCTCGCCTGAAACTCCGCTTCTTCCGCCTCGCCTTCGACATTCTCTTGCTCCTGCCTCTTCTCCCGAGCCTCTTTCTTAGCCTCAAAGGCTCGGATCCGAGCCTCCTCAGCCGCTGCTTTCACAGCTTCGGAAACGGTAACGGCCTCCTTTTGCAAAGCCCTGATAACGAATTCTTCCGCTTCCGACGCGGATATACGCTGAAGCGCAACTGCGACGGCGGCAGCGCGAGCTCCGTCAACCCCCGAAGCTGACACATTACTCGCCAGGCTCGGTGAATCCGGACCTCCGCCTGAATTTGTCGACAGAAGCGTTATTAAATCCGCGCTTGTAATCCGCGACCTGACGTTCCTCCAAACGTTAACGAATTCTGCCGCGGCCTCATCGGCGTGAGCTTCGGCTTTTTGAACCGATGCCACGTGTTTCTCAACCAAGGGTTTCAGATTGTTCTGATAAGCAATCGCGAGCTTTAAAGCCTCCTCGCGCATCTCGGCCCTCTTGGCGATTTTCTCCGCTTTCTTCGCCGTTGTCCCCGCTATGTGAAGGCTCACTTTTTTCGCCGCAACCGCAACCTCAAACGCGGTTACAGCGTCAGGGGTTGGATTCGCGTACGCTCGCTTCGTCGCCGCGTCGGCAGCAGCCGCCATTTCCTCCGCGACCGCTTGCTGCTCGCGCGCTCGCGCCGCGAAGAGCTCGGCGCGCCGCTTGGCGAGTTGAATCTTCTCCTGTACCCCGTCCACCTTGCGACTCGCGTCTTGCAAGTTCCGCTCCATGGACTCCAGGTCGCGGTGCGCCACATAGGCGAGCTGCTTTGCCTCCACCGCTGCTGCTTTTAATTGGCGGAGCAAGGCGACGGGATCGGCATTTCCTCCTGGTAACTTGAAACTGGTGATGACGTGCTGCGGAAATGTCGTTATCGATTTTGTCGCGGCTTGAGTTGAGCCAGCTTGGACTCCGACAGGAGAAGACTCTGTGGCCTCGTTAATAGCAGAACTCCGTATCGGTACAGGAGTAGTGCCGCTCACGAGTGTCACCAAGCTTAATGTGATGGAGAGTGAGAGAATAGTAGCGAGTGTCGAGCAGACAGGCAATGGAGAATTTTGATGAGCTTGTCGCAGCGCCATGGTTTTCATTTCCTGTTCGCGCGTCGATATACCTGGCAGCACTCGTTTCAGATCCGAACGACACACGTGAACGAGTTAAGACTTCAGTATGTCGCGTCGCAATCACAGCTTTTAGTGACCGAAAGGCGAGTCAAGGTATGGAAGTGTCAGTGAGGTATACGGAGAAGCATATCCTAGGCCCTAACCGTCGTTCTGAAAATTAGTTGTTATCAAGCCTGCTCTACCAATAAACCCGCCCACGACGACGAGCCACTTGGACATGTTGCACGTGTACCGTACATTTCACCTCCGCTTATCCAACATACCGTATAATGGTGGGTGGCGGTGGCGGCGCGCCATACACGAGGGAGGTGGTGCTGTGAGGTGTGGCGGCGGGAAAATTTCACAGCGATGGGCCTGTTCGGGGCTCTCCGAACCCGACGCGAGAAGGTGGGAGTTGAACGGCCCAGATAAGCCCGGATGAAGACAATCTACGCCAAAGCCCCACCACCCCTGCTCAACCCAGACCTGTAACGCGTTGGTGGCACAGGTGGCCTTATGGCGGAGTGTGGTACAGCCAGCAAGTTCGCGAACGCGAATACGGTGTGTTCGTCAAACACTTCCTTCTTAGTATTCTATTAACTTGGATACAATTAATCCAAACGTAATATCACTCAAATTGGCTGGGCCACATGTCATACGTTTTGTGTCCAGATATCTCCATTTTAAAAAAATCAGGATATACGTTTAATTCCTCCTTTTAAGTGAAAACTTTGTACGTTGTTGCCCATTGTTACGCATAAACCATGCACAAATGGCTTTTCCTTATTTTTGCAGACTTTGGCCACCCACGCACAGACCGATGTCGTTCATTGCCTCCTCCAGGCAATTGGGGCATAAAAACTGCTTGGATACCCATAGTGGATGTGTTACGAATAGTAATACCCGAATGTTACTGTGCACCCCTTACCGCAGCAAAGAGAAGCATGCAGTATCGAGAACGAACGCGAAGAGTCAGACGGTTAAGAATTGACTCGAAGCACCATACAGTTACAGCACATCTGGACCGTCGGAGCAGATGGCATCGGACAGCTGCAGGCAGGATGGCTTTGGCGGGAACAGTTTGTCAAACTATGCATATTGTGTTTGTGTAGGCTGCTAGTGGGGTAGCCCATATGGGGTACAACCCAATGTTAGGGTTAGCTTATGTACCCAACTCTTGATCAATGCATTCATTCCTGCTGTCAGATTCTAACATGGTATCAGAGCACTAAGGTCCGTAGGACCGCTTTTTTTTTCGGGCCCACCTACCACTGCGGTTACCGCGCTACCCCACGTACCTGCCTGCCTTGCCTTGCCTTGTGACGTGCTGCACTACGCGAGCCGTCCAGCAGCCCTAGCGCTGCCTCCTGCTGCCCTAGGCCAGCGCGCTGCCCCTAAAGGCCCGTAAGGCCCGCGCGCCGCCCCTACACGCCCTCCAGGCCTGCGCAGCCCGCACCGAGCCGCGCGCAGCCCGTTGCTACCGCGCGCTGCCCCCACTGAGCCCGTGCAACCCGCACCGAGCCGCGCGCAGCCCGCACCGAGCCGCGCGCAGCCCGCTGCAGCCGCGCGCAGCCCGCACCGAGCCGCGCGCAGCCAGCTGCAGCAGCGCGCAGCCCGCTGCAGCCGCGCGCAGCCCGTACTCAGCCGCGCGCAGCCCGTACTGAGCCGCGCGCAGCCCGCTGCAGCCGCGCGCAGCCCGCACCGAGCCGCGCGCAGCCCGCTGCAGCCGCGCGCAGCCCGCGCCGAGCCCACGCAGCCCGCGTAGCGCCGCGCGTGGGCCTACTCCTGCCTCGCGAGGCCCGCGCGCCGCCCGCTGCAGCCCGCGCGCGGCCCGCAGCAGCCCGCGCCGAGCCGCGCGCGGCTCGCCACTACCTAGCGCGGCCGCGCGCGGCCTGCAGCAGCCCAGCGCGCTGTCAGCGCAGCCCGCGCCGAGCCGCGCGCGTCCCTCTGCCTCGGCCCCGACCTGCCGCTGATACGGCCCCGCTCTGCAGCTGCCACGGCCCCGACCTGCCGCTGAAGCGGTCCCGCCTGCAGCTGCTTCGGCCCTACTCTGCACCGGGTGTTGCGGCCCCGACGTCGCCGCTGTCGTGCGCCTACTCCGCCGCCGCCCGTTGAGCGCCGGCCCTGCTCGCCCGGCGAGCGCCTGCTCTTCCAGCCTTTGGTGAGCGCCTGCCTGCCTGCCTGCCGGCCTGCCTGTCTGCTTGCCTGCCTGCCTGCCTGCCTACCGGCCTGACTGCCTGCCTGCCGGCCTGCCTGTCTGCTTGCCTGCCTGCCTGCCTGCCTGCCTGCCTACCTGCCTGCCGGCCTGTCTGCCTGCCTGCCAGCCTGCCGGCCTGCCTGTCTGCTTGCCTGCCTGCCTGTCTGCCTGCCTGCCTGCCTGCCTGCCTGCCTGCCTGCCTGCCTGCCTGCCTGCCGGCCTGCCTGTCTGCCTGCCTGCCAGCCTGCCGGCCTGCCTGTCTGCTTGCCTGCCTGCCGGCCTGCCTGCCGGCCTGCCTGCCTGTCGGCCTGCCGCGCCTGCCCTGCCCGCGCTACTGCTGCTGCTACTGCTACTGGCCGGTGGCCAGATGCAGCCCCAGCGACGTTCACGTGAGTCTCTCACGCCCCAGCAGCTTAGTGAGTGGTATACTAGCTGGGGTTGTCGCGGTAGCAGTCGTAGCTGTCCCCCTGGAGCTGGTCCGTTGGGAGCGACTGGCAGTGGCCAGCTGCAGCTGCAGCGGCGTCCGCGCGAGACACTTACGTCCCGGCAGCTCCACGAGTGGTACGCTCAGTGTAGCAGGTCTACGCGTACAGTTCGCTGCCAGTACGTCCTTCGCACAGGTGATAGGACTGGTCAGCCTTGCGGGACGCTTGGTCACACACAGTCCCGCTGCTTCGCCCGTCTGAGCGACGACTGGCGTACAGTGTTTGGCGACGAGGCTGAGCTCCCCGACTGGCTGGAGCTGCTTGGACAGAGGGTAGATATCTTTGCTCCTGACTATGATGCTATTCTCACTGCCATGTATGCATTGCCTACTAGTGTTGACCGTGCCTGTTACCTGTGCGTCCCGCCTGACCCTGGTATAGCACCTGCTGCTCCCGGTACTGGTGAGGCTGCTGCCCTAGGTGCTCGTGTGTCTCCTCCTCTGGGTGCTGGTGAGGCTGCTGCTCTAGGTGCCGGTACGTTTCCTGCTCCAGGTGCTGGTGGGTCTGCTCTCTCTAGTTCTGCGCCTACTGCGGCCTTGTACACCTTCACGCTTGACTCAGGTGCCTCCCGCTCCTTCTTTCGCGACTGCACCACACTCACGCCGCTTAGTCGGCCGGTTGCAGTCTCCCTGGCGGACCCCTCTGGGGGTCCAGTCCTTGCCCACTACTCCACGGTTCTGCCGTGTCCGGCCGCCCCGTCTGGCTTGCTGTCAGGTCTTTACCTCCCCTCGTTCTCTACGAACTTGGTGAGTGGAGCTGACCTCCAGGATCAGGGGGTGCACCAGTTCACTCCTGCGAGTCAGCGGGTGACTCACTGTACGTGTGCTCGGACCGGCCGACACCTGGCCACGTTTTCCCGTGCGCCTGGCTCGAGTCTGTACACCCTGACCACTGCGTCCGCTCAGGTAGCTGCGTCTGCGTCTGCGTCCGGTCAGCCGACGGCCCCCTGCGAGTGTTGCGCTTTGTCGACCCGACCCTCCTATGGCACCACCGCCTTGGTCACCCCTCGGTGCAGCGCCTTCGTGGCATGCACTCTCGCTTCCTGGTTTCTGGTCTGCCCAGGTCTTTGCCTGCCCTGCCTCCCTCGCTTGCGCCGCCCTGCATTCCTTGCGTCGAGGGGCGGCAGTGCGCCGCTCCTCACTCCTCCTCGTTCCCTCCCACAGAGGCTCCCCTGCAGACTCTCCACCTGGACGTGTGGGGCCCAGCCCGCGTCCGTGGACAGGGCCACGAGCGGTACTTCCTGCTGGTTGTTGACGACTACACGCGTTACACCACGGTCTTTCCCCTGCGCAGCAAGGGGGAGGTCCCTGCTGTTTTGATCCCTTGGATCCGCGCTGCCCGTCTCCAGCTCCGCGAGCGGTTCGGGACGGAGTTTCCCATCCTGCGTCTGCACTCTGACAGAGGTGGTGAGTTCTCCTCCGACCTCTTGGCAGCCTTCTGTGCGGAGCACGGCATCACCCAGTCGTTCACGCTTCCGGACTCTCCGCAGCAGAATGGGGTTGCTGAGCGCCGCATTGGCTTAGTCATGGAGGTCGCTCGTACCTCCATGATCCATGCGGCTGCCCCCCATTTTCTGTGGCCGTTTGCGGTCCGGTACGCCACGCATCAGCTCAACCTCTGGCCCCGTGTCTCCCTGCCGGAGACCTCGCCCACACTACTGTGGACGGGGAAGGTTGGCGATGCGTCGCGTTTCCGGGTCTGGGTGCTCGTGCCTTTGTCCGCGATACCACCGCGGACAAGCTCTCCGCCCGTGCAGTTCCCTGTGTCTTCCTTGGCTTTGTCCCTGACGCGCCTGGTTGGCAGTTTTACCACCCCACCTCGCGCCGTGTCTTTGCGTCTCAGGACGTCACGTTCGACGAGTCGGTTCCCTTTTACCGTCTCTTCCCCTACCGCACTGCCCCTCTCCCTCCCCCGCCGCTCTTCCTCGCTCCAGGTGCTCCCCAGGTCGACCCTCTCCCCGCTCCAGGTCCTGCTCCCTCAGGTGTGTCTCAGGTAGACCCTCCTCCCTTCCCTGCGCCGGTTGAGGTCACTGGTGACTCAGGTCCTGCTGGGGGTGGTCCTGCTCGGGGTGCTACTTCTGGGGGTGCTGAGTCTGGGGGTGCTGAGCCTGGGGGTGCGGAGCCTGGGGGTGCGGAGCTTGAGGGTGTCGAGCCTGGAGGTGCTGAGCCTGAGTGTGAGGGGTCTGGAGGTGCTGGAGCTGGTGGTTCTGGGGCTGCTGAGGGTGCTAGCGCTGGAGGTTCTGGAGCTGCTGGAGGTCCTGGTGCTGGTGGCGCTGGAGCTGCTGAGGGTGCTGGCGCTGAGGGTTCAGAGTCTGCTGTTGCGCGGTCTCCTTGGAGTAGCCGCCTTCGTCCACGTGTGCCACTCACCTCGCAGCAGCTGCACGACTGGTACGGTCGCCGTCAGGGTCGCGCTGCTGGAGCCCGGGGCTCTACTGCTGGAGGTACTTCTGCTGCCGTCCCTGGCGCTAGGAGTGGTGCTGGTACTGTTTCTACTGGAGGTGCTGGAGTCGCTGGTCCCGGAGGTGCTCGTACTGGAGGTACTGGAGCTGCTGGGGCTGGGGGTGCTGCGTCTGGAGGTGCTGCTGCTGGAGACACCGAGGCTGGAGACCCTGGGACTGGAGGTGCTGGTTCTGGGGGTGCTGCTGCTGGAGACGTGGAGGCTGGAGACCCTGGGACTGGAGGTGCTGGTTCTGGGGGTGCTGCTGCTGGAGACGTGGAGGCTGGAGACCCTGGGACTGGAGGTACTGGTTCTGGGGGTGCTGCTGCTGGAGGCACTGGGGTTGGAGACCCTGGGCCTGGAGGTGTCGGTTCTGCTGCTGGAGCTTCTGGAGCTGCTGGAGGTGCTGGAGCTGCTGGGGGTACTGGAGCTGCTGGAGCTGCCGGTTCTGGTGCAGCTGCGCCGCCACGACTGTTCTTCGCTCCGCCGTCTCCGTCGTCTCTGCCACCGCCTGACTCTGTTCTTTGTCAGGTTCTTACTCTCCCGTCGTCTACTGGTCTTCCGTTACAGCCTGGCTCACCGCTGCCTGCTCCTTCTCCTTACACTGAGCAGACGGGTAGTCTTGCTGAGCGTCGTGAGCCTGCATCGCGTCCTGTCTCGCCTGTTCGTCCTAGTCGTACCGGTCGTCGTGTTCCGTGTCCGCGTTCGCCGCCTGTCCCCACCGCACACCTTGTCGTCCGTCGTCCTTCCTCTGTTCCGCAGTCTGTTTCTCTGCCGTCTCCTCCTGCGTCTTCCTTGCCTCACGTTCCGGACCCTGAGTCTGACCGGTTTCGTGCTGAGCACCCTACTGTCACGCGTCTGCTCGCCACTGTTGTCACTGACCCCTCGTTTGAGTCTGCTGCTGCGACAGCTTTGGTTGCCGAGCTTGTTGACTTTGCGGCTGCCTGTCGTCTAGACTACGCTGCTAGTCTTGTCGCTGAGTCTGAGTCTGTCTGTCCTCCGTCCGTCGGGGGTGAGTGTGCTCTTAGCACGGACGTCCTTGAGGACAGGCACGAGGACCTTGAGTGTCTTGCAGCCGCTGCGCCTCATCTCGTGACCATGCTGCTTGCCCCTGAGGGAGACCCGAATGCACTAGACATCCCCACCCCGCGCTCGTACGCTGAGGCGGTCGCGGGTCCCTACTCCTCTCAGTGGCAGGCAGCCATGGACGCAGAGATGGCATCCTGGAAGTCCACAGGCACTTACGTCGACGAGGTTCCCCCTCCTGGGGCGAACATCGTCAGTGGCATGTGGATTTTCAGGGTGAAGCGGCCGCCTGGTTCTCCGCCTGTCTTCAAGGCACGTTACGTTGCTCGAGGCTTCAGTCAGCGAGAGGGGGTTGACTTCTTCCAGACCTTCTCCCCCACCCCGAAGATGACCACTCTTCGGGTACTGCTGCACGTTGCCGCCCAGCGTGACTACGAGCTTCACTCGCTTGACTTCAGCACAGCTTTCTTGCGGGCAGCCTGCACGAGGAGATCTGGCTGCGCCGCCCACCTGGCTTCACTGGGTCGTTCCCTCCTGGTACCCAGTGGAGCCTCCGCCGGCCAGTCTACGGTCTCCGTCAGGCGCCTCGTGAGTGGCACGACACACTGAGGACTACGCTTGCGGCTCTCGGGTTTGCGCCCTCCACAGCTGACCCGTCACTGTTTCTGCGCACCGACACTTCGCTGCCGCCGTTCTACATCCTCGTGTACGTCGACGACTTGGTTTTTGCCACTGCTGACACTGAGGCTCTCGCCCTGGTGAAGTCCGAGCTGCAGAAGAGACACACGTGCACAGATCTGGGTGAGCTGCGCAGCTACCTTGGCTTGCAGATCACCCGGGACAGAGCACGTCGCACCATCACTCTGACTCAGTCACACATGGTGCAGCAGGTCCTTCAGCGCTTCGGCTTCACCTGGTCCTCGGCACAGTCCACTCCTCTGGCTACAGGTCACTCGCTCTCAGCTCCACCTTCGGACGAGTCCGTAGAGCCGAGTGGTCCTTACCCAGAGCTAGTAGGCTGCCTCATGTACCTGATGACTTGCACTCGTCCTGACCTTGCGTACCCTCTTGGCCTTTTGGCCCGCTACGTGGCTCCTGGTCGGCACCGAAAGGTGCACTGGGATGCTGCGAAGAGGGTACTGCGCTACTTGTGCAGTACATCGGGCATGGGGCTCGTGCTTGGAGGACGGCGAGAGGTGGTCCTCACTGGGCACTCAGACGCGTCTTGGGTTGACGACCAGGCTACACAGCGGTCGTCACAGGGTTACACTTTCAGCCTCGGCTCTGGTTCTGTTTCGTGGCGTTCTACTCGCTCGTCTTCTGTTCTCAGCTCCAGTTGTGAGGCTGAGATCTACGCCACCGCCATGGCTGCTCAGGAGCTGCGCTGGCTCACCTACCTGCTGACCGACCTGGGAGAGCGGCCTCGTTCTCCTCCAGTTCTGTACGTTGACAACAAGGCAGCCATTGCCTTGTGTGAGGAGCACAGACTGGAGCACAGAACGAAGCACATCGCTCTGCGTTACTTCCTGGCTCGAGAGTTGCAGCAGCGTGGTCAGCTTCGTCTTGCACACGTGGCCACTCGGGCCAACACTGCTGATATATTCACCAAGGCACTTCCGTCTGGTGATCATCAGCGCTTTTGTACCTTGTTGGGCCTTGTGCCTACGTTTCCACACTTGCTGTAGACTCTGCCTGTACTGTGATCTCTATATATATATATACCTGCATGCTTGCTCTTGCTAGGTAGTGATCACTGTACTTTGTTTGTTGCATATATACCTCTGCATGTGGACAGGCCTTGTGGCCCTTTGCTTGTGCTCAGTGTGTGTGGTGACGTTGTGATCCACCCTGAGCTTGTTTTGTTTCTCTTGACTGGTCTTGTGACCCCTTGTTCTCCCCCACTTTGCCTATGGGGGTGTGTCAAACTATGCATATTGTGTTTGTGTAGGCTGCTAGTGGGGTAGCCCATATGGGGTACAACCCAATGTTAGGGTTAGCTTATGTACCCAACTCTTGATCAATGCATTCATTCCTGCTGTCAGATTCTAACACAGTTTTCGTAACTGTACGCGCCGCACGGTTGGGAATGAATTTGAATAAGGGAATGTACCCCTTAGAGTACATGGCTAGCTAGGTCGTTTCGTATTCCCCTGTACTCTTATTTATATCGTTGTATTTGCATGTTTTAATCATCTCAAGCATTTTACATTCACTCTGCTATTGAGGTCAAGGGCCCACCAACACTACCTTACTGCGTGCGAACCTTCCCGAGTAGATCCTGGTGACGGTCAACTTCTGATCGTAGCAGAATGTGCATCTTCTACCCCAACAATACCCGTTATGCATTTTTGTTGGACATGGTAAGGACGTGCTTGTGTGGTGGTGGCCTTGGTAGGTACATGGGACATTCATCGATGGCCTCTTTGGCCTGCAGTATCTCAGCATCTGCCAGGGTGGTCTGAAGGGAAGTACTCAAAACCTTGTGCGGCTAAAACATGCATGATACAGACCACACTGCATCACCAATCCAAACCAAATCTTAAAAAAAAAAATTTCTATGGTTCCTCATAGACTTACTCACATCCCTAACGAGCTAGTTTCAGAACAACATCATTCCCCTCAGCAGATGCAAATGAAAGAATAAATGTCACGTTGCACACTGAATTGAGAATAATACTGAGGAAAACTGAGTGACCTAGGCAGCAAATCAACACACTGTTGACTATAGAAGCACCACAAAACATATTATCCAGGACGGCTGGATAAAAGACCAAACTTCTCAACCATTGTTTCACCTTCACCCACACATCAGTCACCTTCAGTCACACACCAGTGCAGAGAGTGCACCCCTTGAACCTACATGTCCCGCAGAGTGTCTACTCTGCCAAGGTGCAGCAGCGGCCGCTTTATTTGCAGGATTAGACAGCCCATTCCCTGCGAGATACACCAAACCGCTGAGGACGAGAAGGGAGACTCCCAAATGCCGCGAAAGCACCCACCCAGAAGGGTAAACTTATTTGCCCTGAACCCACACTGTATGATCAACCGTCTCTGTCTTGTTATGCAGCTGCTACGACAACCAGTGGAGCACCATCGTGACGCTCTTGTTACACCATCGAATTCCCTTGGTTCTCCTTCTCTACTAGTACCACAGCTTGCCACGCAAATCACGCCTCCGCCGCTTTCGACGGTTCTGTCTCGTTACGCAGCTGCTACAACAACCAGTGGAGCACCATCGTGACGCTCTGCTTCTTGTACAATAGCCTCTCTGTGTTTATCCTCCTCTATTACCACCGATTGCCACGCAGATTGAGCCTCCGCCGCCCTCTCCATCTTCTCAACCATCTCCGCCCGGAGCGCCTTCACCCTATCCGCCGCCATTCCCGCCTCTCGCGCCGCCATCACGAACGCGCCCTCGAAGTCGCGCACGTTTGTTTCCATCTCCTGCAGGTACGGCCGGTTCCCGCGCGCCTCGGCGCGCGCGGCGGAGAGCTTCCGCGCTGCCTGATCCTTGCGCTGAGCGGCTCTGTCAACCGTGCTGGCGGCGCCTGCCGCCGCGTTAGCGCCGCGCTCCTGCCGCGCTTCTTTGAGCGCGTTTTCCGCGGACTGAAGCTCCGCTTCCGCCGCCGAAACTGCCGCGTCCAGCTCCGCCTGCTCGCGCGCCGCGTCACGCTGCTGCTGCCTCGCCTCGAGCGCCCGGATGCGCATCTCCTCCTGCTCAATCTTCTGCGACGCGAGGGCGCGCTTCGCCTCTTCGTACGCTGCTAGTGCCTCCGCCGCCTCCGCATCCGCTGAAGAAACCCTCCTCGCCGCCTTCACCTCCGCGTTTTCTGCACCAGGCGACCCCGAGCTGTAGCTATCATCTGAATCAGAAGATGCAGGGCCGAAGCTGTCTGGGGAGTCTGGTGTGCTGTTATGCTCAACGGCTCCTCCGCGTAGGTTTTTGTCGCGGGCAATGGCGTACGACTGAGTGGTTGCGGTGGTGGGCGGAAGGAGAAGGGTGAAAGCGGCGGAGAAGATAAGCGCGCGGCGTAGGTGGCCTAGTGACGCCATTCCCTCTCTCAGACGGTCGCTGATGTGATAGTCCTACGTCGTCGAGCTAGTGGTTACGAAATAGCGTCTATAGATTATGCGACGGAGCTATTGTGGAAACCAAAGTAATACTCTCGTCAATGCTAAATGGAAGTGACTCCAGCTTGGCGAATGTCCTAGCGCGTCGAAAATCAGCACCCCCTGCGTAACTTGGCCTGGTGGAGGGGACAGGCTGTTGCGTGCTGGCAAAAGCCGGGGATGGCGTTCCTTATTCACCCTCTGCTGTTGAAGCAGCGTGCATGTCGGGCGCAGGACGGAAAAGGAAAACAACTGGCAGGCAGCGGGGTCGGTGTTGGTGGGCTTGTGCAAGTCAGTAGCTTGACACTCTAGCCCAGAGGGCTTGGCATGCCCCGTGTGTGGAAATGTCGAGTCGAGCCTCTCTAGCCCCTTGACACGGGAGCACACGGCTCGAGTGAGGCGCACCGCGCGTGCGTGAAATTTGACCAATTTGTGCGACGCGCCTGGGGGCTTCTACGGGATTGGGTAGCGGGAGTTCCGCCAGTGGATGAATGTGGAGGAGGGTGGACAAACTTGTGGAGCGAAAATCCCGCTCCGAGCAATGCTGCGTGTTTCGGTAGAGTCATAGTGGTAGAACATGGATACACGTAAAGCTACTTTCATTACTTCTCTGTATCTGAACTGATGATATAATGAACCCTGTTTACGTCAGATGTGCTAAGCCTTATCACAGAATGCTAAAACTGATGTGCTTGTACCGGAGCAATGGCTTTTGTGCTAGCAGACGTGTCACCATCTCACTCACTCCCCGTCAGCCGTTCGTCGGCTGGAAACACGTAATCCTTTCGCCCACCCTGTTGGATTCCTGCTTTGCGAGTTTCGCACACTGTCAACACCCAGGATAAATCAGGTCGCCGATTCTCGTTGATCTTCGCGTACTCCTGGTGATTAGCCATCACCTTGAGCTGGCCTTCTCTCCCCTAGCTGGAGCTAATTTCTGTGGATAAGGTTCTCATACTTCTACAGCAGCACCTTTCGGGGCCTGCTATTTTCTGTGACCTATTTTCGAGTTGTTTCAGCCATGGCTGCCCTCGCCCCGGCCGGGTCATGCACAGTCTCTGCTAAACTGGTTGCGTCGCAACCTCGCCGCAACGCTGCCGCCGTTTCATCACCATCCATCTCAGCCTCCGCTCTCAGTCGCAAGTTCGATGGCCTGCGGCTCTCCGCGTCTCCCGCTTCCAGCTCCGCGTCAGCCGGCCTTACCGACTCCTCGAGCCGCGTAGTGTCAGCTAACAGCGGGTGTAGAGGCGTGGTTACCATGGGAATGGAGGCTGGAATCGGGGTTTTGGGTAACAAGGTTGGCATGCTGACGTGGTTCACTGAGGACGGCAAGGCCGTTCCCTGCACGGTGATTGGCTTCCACGAGGGTAACATTGTTACGCAAGTGAAGACCACTGACACCGATGGTTACAATGCGGTGCAGGTACGACGCTAAAGGCGATCCATGTCGAAGACCGGTCAATGCCAGGGTTTTGGCGAACTTTTTTTAGTCTCGCATTGTGTCGAGAATGCTACCCTGTAACAACCTTAGGCCCCTGCTTTCATCGTTATGACTCTTTTCTCTTGGGTTTCGGTCAACCATCTGCCTGAATAGGCACCTCGAAAGCTAGAAACGTACAGAATAGTTACATCGGGAGCTCGCGTGATTTTCTTCGACGCTCTTTCCGCCCGATTAACATTGTAGGCGACCTTCTCGTCTCGATTCACACGCGCCGCTTGGTTCATCTCCTAGGCCTTACGTTTCTTAGACAAGGCTGCAAGCCTGAATGGGTGGATCGAGGAGGATAATTTCTGAGTCGATACGCTTGGTTCCGCTAGTTCTTACGTTCCTTTCTCAAAGCGCAAGCCTCTGAATGGGTGGATCTATGGTTTTCGTTCGTGTCATCTGACGTATGATGGGATCTCGTAGCCGACGGAACGCTAGAAATGTGAAGGCAAAGCCGCTGCATTACATGCGGTCATGCGGTCCGTGGTTCGTGGACGAGGTGACATTTGAGTCAACTCAAAAGTTACTTGCCGTCATGTGGTCCGTGGTCCGTGGTTCGTGGACGAACGCTTAGCGGCTTAGCGGCTTCCTGTATCTCCCGTAAGAGTAGGAAGAGTTTCGACCGCAGCAAGCCTACATGCTGTATCTCCCTCGGATTTTATCCCACTCTCTTCGCCTGCTGTTGCAGATTTTCCCTGCTACGTTCAACAAGGGTTAGCAAATCCAGTATAGTGAAGTCAGAGGGACGATAGCAAAATTGCCTGGTCCCACGCAATACCCGCTTGTTTCCCCCCACTGCTCCTTCTTTCAAAACCATTCATCGAGCCCTTTCCCTTCTTCCATCCACCCCCTCTCCTTCCCTTTTAATTCCCTCCTCCCGTTCCCTCTCTTTCCCCCCCATCGCCCTCCGTTCCCCCCATCCCCTTCTTCCTCCTTCCACCCCGTAGGTGGGCTACTGGCGTGTGCGCGAGGGGCGCCTGTCGAAGCCCGAGGCGGGGCACGCGAAGAAGAGCGGAGCGCCGCCGCTGCGCCACCTGCAGAGTTCCGCCTGGCCATCCCCCCGAGCCCTTTCACCGTCCCCCATCCAGCTCAGTTCTCTCCCCCCCTTCCCTCCCGCTCCCCCGTTTCCTCCTTGTCCCCATCCCCTCCTCCTCCCCGTTTCCCCCTTCCCCCTTCCCCTTCCCCACCTCCCCCTCCCACATTCCCGCGCCACCCCGCAGGTGGGCTACCGGCGCGTGCGCGAGGGGCGCCTGTCGAAGCCCGAGGCGGGGCACGCGAAGAAGAGCGGAGCGCCGCCGCTGCGCCACCTGCAGGAGTTCCGCCTGCCCGCGGAGACCGTGGCGCAATTCACGCCGGGGCAGCAGATCAAGGTGGAGGAGCTCTTCCAGGCGGGCGACCTGGTGGATATCAAGGGCGTCAGCATCGGGAAAGGATTCGCTGGTAAGGGGAGGGGTAGCTTGATGGGGTAGGGGTTGCAGCGGGCCAGGGGGCTAGTGTTGGCAAGCGGTTGGCGCAGTTTGCGCCGGGGCAGCAGATGAAGGTGGAGCAGCTCTTCCAGGCGGGCGACCTCGTGGACATCAAGGGCGTCAGCATCGGCAAGGGATTCGCGGGTAAAGGTGGAGAGAGAGGGGGGGGGGGGGAGGGTAGCTGGAGGGGAATTGGCTAGAGGGGGGTAGCGGGTTGCAGCGCGACCGGGGTTAGTGCAGGCAAGCGGTTGAGACAGTTTGCGCCGGGGCAGCAGATCAAGGTGGAATGGGAAGACCTTGTCGATATCAAGGGCGTCAGCATTGGGAAAGGCTTCGCTGGTAAGGGGGAGTGGGAAGGAGGGTGCTGGGGGGGAAATAACTAGAGGGGGATGGGGATGCAGCGGGTCGGGGGGCTAATGCGGGCAAGCAGTTGGTTGGCGCTGACCCCGCCCAGGGCAGCAGATGAAGGTGGAGGAGCTCTTCCAGGCGGGGGCGACCTGGTGGACATCAAGGGCGTCAGCATTGGGATGGGCTTTGCGGGTAAGGGAGAGGGGGGCCGGGCGGAGGATGGTTGGGGGATTCGCATCGCGGAATTGGGACAGATGAGCAGATGAAGGTGGAGGAGCTCTTCCAGGCGGGGGCGACCTCGTGGATATCAAGGGCGTCAGCATCGGCAAGGGATTCGCTGGTAAGGGGGATTCGTGACAATAATATTTGCAAGTATTATTTCTCATCTCCCATTTTCCCACACCCCTCCTCCCTTATCTCCTCCTCCTCCCCCTTCCCTCCACCGCAATTCCCCCCTCCCTCCAGTCGGGCCCCACATCGTGGCTCTGGTTGTGCCAGGTGGCATTAAGCATTGGAACAGTTGAACTTTCTCGCAGCCCCAGGACTCATGGTTCCAAGTCCCACCGTCAGCTGGGCTCGATCGGTGCTGGTACCACCCGTTGCCTGTGATTCTCATTCCCCCACACCTCTCTCCCCACCCGCCCCTCCCCCTTCCTCCCTGCCTCTTTCCTACCTTCTGTATTGTCACGCCTGATTCCCCCCAGGTGGCATCAAGCGATGGAACTTTGCCCGCGGCCCCATGACCCACGGTTCCAAGTCCCACCGTCAGCTGGGTTCCATCGGTGCTGGTACCACCCCTGGCCGTGTTTACCCCGGAAAGAAAATGCCCGGGCAGCTGGGTAACGCCCAGGTGAAAATCCGGAAGCTGAAAATCATGAAGGTTGACCCTGAGCTCCGGGCGGTTATTATTCGGGGGGCTGTGCCCGGGAAGGCTGGAAATTTGCTGCGCATCTGCCCGGCAAAGATTGTGGGGAAGAATGTGCCCACCAAGTGAGGATAAGTGCAGACGAAGATTGAGCGGATGATGCAATTGATGCTTGGTTGCGCTGTGAACTCTTGGTGCGACTTGTATCATTGTCCAGATGAACATGATGACAAATTTGAGTAGATTCTAACTAATAGTGTGGATGTTACCCCACATTTGATCCCAGGGCAACCCTACCCATTCGTTTTTAGCTGGAAAATAATAAGTTAGGACATCCGTTACACACAATGCTCAAAGCTCACGTGGTTACACGCAGCTCCACGTGTTTTCAGGCCACGCCCCTAGTGCCTCGTGGATTAGGCACCTGCACTGTTACAGGTGGTTTGCCAGCTTTGTTGCGCGAGGGGTTGACTCCTCCAAGGACTACAATCGCATGACAGACATGATGGAGAGATAGAGCTTCGGTGGTTACTCCACGTCATGTGCCACGTTGCTGATGTGGTGCGCCACTATTTCGAAGAATTTCTCTTGCAATGTTGGTTCGATTAGTGGAAGTGGAAGTTGTAACAAGAACCAGACGGTTCAAGATCGGTCAATTCCACTGGCGTTCAGATTTCGCCAGTGCGGGTTTGCGATTGTATGCAATTGACGGCCCGGCGGAAAAACCACGGGGTTACCCGTGTTTGGGGTTGAGGCTCCCCAATCGCATGTCATCTGGACGGGGTTTAGTTTTTTCTGACCGCGGGCAGTCAACGGTTCTTCTGCGCCTTACCTGACGGCCGTCAGCTGCATACTTTCGCAATCGTACTGGCAAAATTTGCATGTAGATGATGTTGTCCCGTTTAAGATCGACCCAGACGGTTGTTTTTGGGTCTTGTTGCCGCGGCGCTCGTTCCACGCAAGCGAGCTGCCCGCGGGGATCCCTTGCCTAGTGAAGGGCAACACGAAATCTCCACGAAATGCAGGAATCGCTTGCAAGGGTAAGCCCAGAGGGTAGGGCAAGGTCGGGGGGCTCAACCGGGCATCGTGTGTACATCTTGTTTGCCCGCGGGCAGCTCGCTGCGCCACCTGACGCTGGCGCTCGTATGAACCATTCATTTCGAACAAGACGCACAACAACCGTCTGGGTCGAGCAGTGGCGGAAATTGGCGGAACCACAGCCTCGGCCCTAAGCAGGCTTTTTGACAGGTCTGTTGGTGGACCCAACGGGCAAGGGTTAACTTTTCAGGTGCTTGCGCGACAGAATCACGAGTGCTCAGGAAGGTATATCTCAGGGGATTGGTCAGACCAAACTGACCAGATATGTTCTTGTCGCCGATACCTGTTCACTTGCTCACCTCACCGATTCAGGGCATCCATTTCACAACCTCGCAATTTGTGAAGAGCTCCTTCCCGTCGCGGTCAACCTCCTTGCATCAAAAGCAAACTGACGACATTCTTCTCCTTCCTTAGCTCATTGCGCTCAATCGCCATGGCCAGTCTCAAACACCGCCACGCCGAACTGAGAAGTACCATATTCACCGTGTGCCTCTGTTTCGGCCTCCTCCTCTCCACCAACCGTGTTACTGCTGTGCGCGACGCTACGACAGCACAGCATTTCGCCGGTTTACGCGACAATCTCCTCGGATCCACACCAGGAATTGTTACCGTTACTAGTAATCACGGAACCGAGAGTAATCCGTCGTTAGAATCCGCGGTTCGTGAAGCCGTTGCAGCTGACGCAGAAGCCGCAAAAGCTCTAGCGGAGTACGAAGATGCGAAGAAGTTTCTCGAAGAAAAGAAGATGGACGCGGAGGGATTGAGCGCGGAAGTGTCTAGAGTGCGCCTGCAGGCGGAGGAAATGGCTCTCGACTGCGCCGTAATGACCGCGGACGTCGAGGAATTAGCGCAGCTGGCGCGAAAACGCTCCGCGGACCTGAAGCGCGCGGAAGAGGTGGCGGAAAAGGCTGGAGCATTAGCGGCAGGCAAGCGGAAGGTGGCGGACGAAGCTTCCGCATCCGAGCGCGCAGAAGCGGTGCGAAAAGCGGAGGAGGCGGAAGCAATGGCGGAAGAAGCCAAGGAGGACGCACAGGATCTGTGGGAAGCGTACTCGCGGGAAGAATCCGACGTGGAACTTTCTGTGGTTGATATTGAATCGGAGGAGACTAATATCAAGGATTTAAATGCCGCAGCATCTCGCCTTGAGGAGGAATATCGGAAGAGTGTGACTGCAGTGGAGGTCGCTAAAGCGAAGGTGGCGGAACTGAAGGTTCTGGCGGAGGAGAAGGTGGCGCTTGCGAAAGCAATGCGAGCTGCTCTGAGGAAAGGCGGAAAGGGGAACAGCCGAGATGAAACGACAGCCACCCAATAGCAACGACTCCCACGTTTCTGTTTCAGGCTACGTAGGGAAAGAGGGATTATGCTGCGGCACCTGCGGCGGATTGCCCCTTCTGAAGCGCAATACGCGCCGTAGTTTCGTCGAGCACACGAGTTAAAGAACCCAGTTTCCTCCAGCCTCGAGCCCAAATGGTTCTCTCACTAACTACGTGATATTGCATATTGTATAGTGTGAAACTGTGTGTGATGATGTGTATTGTATGTGTGATGTTGTATAGTACTCCGTATTGAGTACGTGTAGCGTCCGTGCTGATGTCCAGCCTTACGCTTTTTGTTGATTTTATAGGAAGTCCTCCGGATCTTATACCCGGGAATTTGTGGTGTAGTTCAAGAGCACATTTTAGCGAAGTACGTGAAACTCTTTAAAACCCGCGGCCCTTATTGCGGACCTCGCGTGTCAAAGTTTTTTTAGCTTGACGATGTGGGTTGTGCAAGCTATGACAAGTAGCGCAGTTGAAATTTGGGACTCGGGGTTTCGAGTTTGCTGGGTGGCAGAAAAAAAAAAAACAAGAGGCGACAAGGTCGTCCTAGGGTTGCGAAGCTCTTTCTGTAATGGTAAGTACAATTTAGTGAGTTGTACATCCTCAGAAAATGTACACAATAGCATGACGCTCAATAGGCAATTCACAGGCAAAGAGTCGAAAATATGCACTGCGGGGTTCGAACCCTCGACTTTTCGATCGCAGACTCGCACTCCAACGACTCGGCCAATGCCTCTGATTTTAAACTAATTTATATTGTCTGATTTTGTGGTGACGAATCTGACACATTCCTAAGGTTTGATCTACCCTTTTTCTCCCTTCCTCTCGTTAACTGAGCTCCCCGCTAGTCAGGTTCCACCAACTAATTCAAGTCTCTACTAAGGTGAAAACAATCCTAACCTATCAGGTAGTTTTAAGTTAGATGATACAAGCTAGGCTAACATGTGTCGATCTCTTCTCAAAGTCGTTTATAGGGAATGTTCTATGGTTTGGTTTTTTTCCTTCGTTTTCCTTGTCCTACTTGGAGCAATCCACCCTCCCTCTCCTACTTCCTCTCGTTCTGCCAACGAGCTACGGGAGTTTCCACTAGGTAAGAACTTACAGCTTAAAGTCGTTCGACTTAATTCTAACTTAGGTCGACTTAGATTCAACCTAGGTGGACTTCGATCTTGGTTTAACATATGTTGATTTAGGCCGGCTGGCCATTTCGTCCTATTTAACTGTTGATTTAGGCCGGCTGGCCATTTCGGCCTATTTAACTAAGTCAATTTGTTTAGTACAAGCCATTGGCTGTAATGTACCTATCTTAGCCTCATTCCATCCGTTTGTTTCCTTTCCATTTCAAATTTCCGTTTTCTTTTTCATTTCTGCATGAAGTTTTCTATCTATCTTTCTCACTGTTTTTTCTTTCTCTCAGCAGCCTCTTCAGTTCGTTGAACTTTTCTTCCTTCCATCTTGTAATTATTTCGTCTTTCATTCTTACGTGCTCTTCAGCTTTCTTTAGTTTAACGTCTATCCGTTCATTTTCTTTTAGCTTCCTGCTGTAGTGTATCTTTTCTTTCCATACATGTTTTCTTCACTTCGTTTGTTGATTCCTTCTTGTTCCCTTCTCTTTACTGTCAGTTTTTTTTCCTTGTATAGTCGTTCGATTTCAGCGTTATCCGGTCTTATATTGTATTCTTGCGTCTCTCCTTCCTACCTGTTGCATGTTCTCCTTTCTCTCTGCAATTCCCTTTCTCTTTTCTTCCCATATTACTTCTTTCCATCTTACGTGCCCTCCAGATTTTCCCTGTTTCATTTCTTAACCTTTCTTATCCTTGCTTTCTTTTTGTCTCAACTATTTCTTTCCCTTCTACGCATTCATTTCATTTCCCTACATTGTCTAATCGTTTTGTTATGTCTTTCTGTTGCGTTCTTTGCTGATTGTTTTACCACTCCCCTCTCATTCTCATCTTGTTCCTTCTCTTCTCTTGCGTATTCTTCTTCTTGTCACTTGTTTCCTTTTGTTTGGTAAGTAGTATTACTGTTTTATTCTGTTGATGTCTTCACCACCCATTCTGCACTCGTAACGTTTTTATGTCTATTCCTTGCTTTGATCTATTACTTGCTTCCGTTCGTATATTCGCCGTCTCCAAGCTTTCATCGTCCTTGTCCTAAGCCTTCCTCTTATTTGATTGTTTATTGGACAAGAATAAAATCTTTCCCTCTCTCCCCCCCTCTTCCACCCACTACCCCTCCCTCTCCCCCCCCTTTTTTTTATGTTTAGAGGCTTTGCTGTTTGCTACAGGCTGCCAAGATTACTTATGAAGTATAACGATAATAGTTATGATTTGTGGAGCTGCATTGTATTGATAATTCTCGTTTGCATTGGTTTTATTGTTTCTATTGTTTCTGCATTGCCCTTGTGTGTGTGAAAGGATTGTGTCTGAGATTTTGTGTGAGCATATCCGTATGTGCGTCGTGTATGTGTCTTCGTGTGTGCACACTCATCCATATGCATTTATCATTGCATTAACAATGCGCATCTGTGGATTTTAAAAAGATGGTCAAACCATCATTTCCGAGAAGGTTCTTTGCCCACTCAGTGAGTGTGTTCATTTGAACTGGATTTGATGGATCTTGATCATTTTTTTGGTTTTCACAGATTGTGTTGTTTCATGTAACAGTTGGATGATTCAGGAACTATGCTATTGAGCTCCCCCCCATGCTAGGCAGGGGATGCGGTAGCATAGGGTCTGGGTTAATTAACTGTTGCGCATTTCGATCATGGTATACATTCATTTCACTACACTGGACGTATACCCAGATATATATTATATTCATCACAGGAGCATATGCATTGCATTTATGCACTTCTGTTTAATATTTAATTCATCATATCCATCATTATATTTCATCTATTCATAACATCATTCCGTATAGCATATGCATTATGGAATAAAAATTCACTCGTTACCGGTAATATCATTTTGGCAATCCATACAGTCAGGGCAAACTAGGAAACGAGAAAGAATTTAGTATGGCATGTGCTAAAATGCCATGGCAAATACAGGAGTCAAACACTTAGCTCTCATTCGCTAGGTTTTTTTTTCATTGTTTTTTTAGATGATGAAAAAAAATTGTACATAACGATTGTAATAGGTTGCTTCGCAACCCAAAAAAAAAAAAAACGAATTTCACGCAATCATAAACACTCAAACCAGTAAAACTGCCCCTCGTCAACCTTTCAAAACTTGTGCAATTTGGGCCAACGATGTACCACAACTGTCAACCTTCACCCAAACTTGCGACATCAGGTTGTACAAATCTCACAACATTTACAGTTCTTGTAACGTGTGGTTCAGAACGTTTCAACACGGTTTAAAGCGGTATTACTGTTTTGAACTGTGATGAAACATAGTGTAGTTGTACACCTAGCCTGCGCCAATTTCACACCCAGACAATTTTTTCTTAAAGCCTGATTGACCGTTTTGATTAGACACCCGAGGAAATAGAGGCTATTTGTGGCATTGTAAAGTGTCGATGTTGTAAAGTCTGACTCTGGGATCGCAACGCAAAGACTGGATCTTCCGCTGCGACCATTTCTTGTTAACCCGCTAACTCTTGTGAGCGGGTCTCCTTCCTTTAAACAGCCTTTAATTTCGGGTAAATCAGGGACGAATACACAGGGGTCTGAAATTGGAGGGTGTGAATCCAACCTTGGACGCCTCGCAGCGAATGTCCTCTCCCAACCACTTCCGTCAAAGCGCGGGGCGACTCATGACCGCGCAACTCGCAACCGCGCTTGACGAATTGCCGAACACTATCGCACCTCAAACAGTTGTATTTCACTTCACAACTATGAACCCTTGCTCACCTGGCTGAACATTCATGAAAAGTCTCTTTTAGAGCTTTTGGGCTTCCTCCCCCAACAACCTGGCGAATCTTCAATGCTGCCCCGCATCAGTGATGCGCGCATGGATGCCACCTCTCGACCATGCGCGCATCACTGATGTGTCGGTTTGCCAGATGAGGATGGTTCCAGTAACGAGGGGGCCAAAAAATCCTTTGGCAGTCATTCAGCATCAGTTCGCTTCGGTGCTCATGCGCCTATCCCGGGCCATGATAGCCGATCAACCGCTTATCTCGGAAGCAACTTGATTGGTCATTCTAGTGTAGCACATACCCGAGCCTGTGCTCACGCGCCTGCCGAACAGGGCCCTTGTGAATTGCACCCCGGCCCTCGACTAACCTAGTTTCCCTGCGCTGTGACCTTAGACCTGCGAGAACCAACCGCACCATAACTGTTCTGTGTGGCAATTTTTAACTCCAGTGCGGTAAGCTTAGGCATGCACGGCGCAGTAAGTCAGATGCAATGGCAGCTCCTCAGGTTCAATGGCCGCCGCCACCATCCCTTCTGCAGATCAAGTCACCCGCGACGAATCGAAAGTCGATCAAGCTCTCCCCTTCCGAACCTCGTTTGGTGTCCAAACCTTCGGGGGTTGGTTTGGAACGCCATATCAGTACCAGCACATATCATAATCGTACTAACTTGGGAGGCTGGAAAGCCTTTCCCTCGACCTGACTCTGGCAGACTCTCTGTTAGAAGTTTTCCTCAGCGTTTTGGTTGTCCGCGTTCAGTGCGAGTTCCTACCAGTACTACGGCACTCTTCAACGAGCATTAGCCACAATGGCGAATCGGCGAAGTACCATCTCCATTTCACTTTTCGTCTGCTTCGCTTTCAGCTTCCTCCTCTCGTCCACTCGCTCATTTCCACATGTTTTAGACAGCGCTACACATACAAGCGATTCCGCTTCAAACGAGGATGTCCGATCGCTAGAATTCGCAGTAGCCGCCGCAGCCTATGCGGAAGCTGCGGAAGGCCGCGCAGAATTCGAAGTTGCAATGAAGGTTCTTGCGGCGACAAGACTCCGCGCGGAGGCACTGCGGGCGGATCTCTCCGCTGCGCGCCACCAGGCGGAGGTAGCGAAGCGCGAGCGCGCAGCCGTACACGTGGATGCCGCACGTATGGCGGAACGCGCAAGCAACCGCTCCGCGGACCTGAAGCGCGCGGAAGAATTCTTGGCGCAAGCTGTTGCGTTCGCGGCGGAAAAGCGGCGCGCGGTGGATGAAGCTGCGGCTGCGGTTGGAGAAGCAGCGAGAGCGGCGGGAACTACAAGATCGGTTGAGGCGAAGCTGGCGCTCTGGTGGGCGGAAAACGAGCGCGCGGAGTTGGCGCAAGTGGTGGCGGTGGCGGAGAAGCTGGCGGAGGCGGCGAAGCAGGGCGCGGATGAAATTCGGGAAGTGTACGCGCGCGCGGAGAATCAGCGGAAGATTGCTGCAGCGGAACTCGATTCCGAGCAGCTTCACGCGGAAAAACTGGAATCTGCTGTAGCGCGTATGGAGGAGGAGCACAGACAGGGTGTGATTGCGCTGAAGGCCGCTGAAGCGAAGGTGACGGAATTGAAGGCTCTGGCCGAGGGGAGAGTCGCGAGGACGATAACGATCCGAGTCGCGTATGAAGAAGGCGGTACGGGGAACAGCCGAGTTGGAACGACAGCCACAATTTGAACGTCCCGACTGGAAGTGTACTACATACATACGAAGTAACAGGAGTGGACTACACACTCCAGAAGAGCCCTACTAGGAATAATCGGCTCTGGAAGCCTAAACTCATGGATTAGGAATGGATGAGGGATTCCGAACCGAAGCAGCAACAGCAACATGAGCGATCGGCACACTGATTTTCAATCCGCGTTAGTGTACTGTTGCAGGCTATGTTGTAGTAATTCATGATTTAATGTATGTCATGAACATAAATTCCAGCATTTGGTTCTCACGAAGAAAGAAAATAGGAGTCAGTGTTAGCACAACCTAACGCCAAATGTCTACTCATTAATCTCAGTTAGTCTACAGAGGTAGAAAATTAGCACATGGAATAATTCAGTGTAAACTGTTAGCAGCACACATTCCCTACCCTCTCACACCATCCCCTTAGTATCACCATCAGCATGTCATGCCACCGCATAAGCCTATCTAAACATTACAAGCCCCACCACTTAATAATCGCCACAGAGATTCATCACCCAAGCATCGTAACAAGGTGATTTCAAGTCGACTAAAAAATGACCGCCACACCACACAGATCCATCACTTGAGCATCGTAGACACGTCAGCAGATTTCAACCTCGCAAGTCCACCAGAGCCCTTGGATCGGCCACCAGCAACAGCAGACGACCGAGATGAGTTTCTAGGCAAAGGGCTTCTTCCCCCATCCCTCTCCCTATCCCTGTCCCTGTCCCAATCCCTGTCCCTCTCCCTATAATCACGGTCACCATACCTGTCCCTGTCCCTGTCCCTGTCCCTGTCCTTGTCTCTATCCCTCTCCCTGCCGAAATCCCTATCCCTGTCACTCTCCCTCTCCCTATCCGACTCGTCGTCCCATCCCCTCCCACTTCTCCCACCACTGCTTGTTCCACCCCCCCTCGCCCCACTCCTGTCAGCAGCTGCCCTACCCCTCTCCCTTGACCCCCCTGCTCCTCCCTCCCCCTCCTCCTCCCCATTCTCATCTCCCTTCCAAGGCGCCACCATTTTAGGCCCCTTCAGAGGACTCAGTCCGCCGCCCGCAGATACAGAAAAGACGACCCCGCCCGTCCGTGCCAGGTCGTCAAAATCCCGACTCGGCCGCCTCCGAGAAGCAGACGAGCCGCCAGAAGCAGCCGACTTCCGCCCGCCGCTGCTCGTGCTCTCCGCCCCGTCCCGCCCCAAATCCTTCTCCCCGTCGCCGCCCAGATCATCCAGCAACTTCCCCACATCTGCCGATTTCCGCCGGACCAGGCCATTAGTAGCCGAAACACGCCGTCCGCCGCCGCCGCCCGCTCGGCTGCTCACACTGGCTGTGGGGGACGGCGGAGCTCCTAATCCTCCTCCCCGATTGGACGAGCGAGTGCGAGAAGAATCTTCCAAAAGAGGGGAAACAGGCCTTGCTCCCCCACCACCCCTTGCCGACCCGTCCCTCCCGTCTCTCCCTTCCCTCCCATCCCGGACCGGAACAAGAGCCGACACGTTGGTTGACTTGTGCCGAAACAGGCTGTTTCCTTCCAGCCTCTCCTTGGCGCTTTTGGCCTTATCCGATCCCCGTGACATGCCCCTCACACACCCTGCTCCCCCCTTTGCTCCCACACCACCATCATCATCACCAGCAGCACCACCGCCGTCCTTCTCGTCGTGTGATTCGTCGCTGGTGGCACCAGGAGCAGCAGAAGAGGAAGGGGGAGGAGGGGAAGGGGACCGCTCGAGGTCTCGTGCTTTTGAGCTGCCTCCGCTACGGCCCTCCCTGCCCTCCCTCCCTACTCGCTCCCGCTCCTTCTCCCCCGCCTCTCCTCCTCCTTTCTCCCCACCGTCAACCTCCGGGTCGAATGACACGCTAGCAGACGAAAGCCCGCGCCGCAACGTTCGCTTCGGCCGGACCGGCTCATCCTCCTCTCCTTTCTTCCTCGCCTCGTCCCCGTCCTTCTCCTTCCCATCCCTCTCCCTCTCCCTCTCCCTCTCCCTATCCCTATCTCTGTCTCTATCCCCCCTGTCTCTGTCCCTGTCCCTATCCTTATCCCTGTCCCTGTCTCTGTCCCTTTCCCTGTCCCCCCTCCCCCTATCCTTCTCCCCTCGAACGCTTTCGGGAGAGGGGGATCGACGCACACCCGATCGCCTTCCATCCCTGTCCCGATCCCTGTCTCTATCCCTGTCTCTATCCCTGTCCCTCTCCCTGTCCCAATCCCTGTCCCTGTCACGGTCCCTGTCCCTGTCCCTGTCCCAGTCTCTGTCTCGATCCCTGTCCCTATCTCCCCTCCCTCCCCTGTCCCTGTCCCTGTCCCTGTCCCGAAACCTGTCTCTATCTCTGTCCCTGTCTCTATCCCTATCCCGGTCTTTATCCCTACCCCCCGCGGGAGGCGACGGCGACCGTTGGATTCCCCGCGATCTCGATCTGCTCGTTGGACTCTTGAGGAAGTCCGGCCTATCATCCTCCTTTCCAACCGAAACCAGCTTTCCAATATCTGCTGAACGATGCCGTACCAGCCCGCCGCCCTCTTTCTTCGCCCCAGTCGTGCTCCCTAGCTTGTCTCTCTCCCTCCTGAGCCGCTCTCTATCCCGATCCTTATCCCTCACACCATCCCGATCCCTGTCCCTATCCCTGTCCCTGTCCCTATCTCTGTCCCTGTCCCTATCTCTGTCCCTGTCCCTGTCTCTGTCCCTATCCCAGTCCAAATCCCTGTCTTTGTACCTATCTCTATCTCTATCCCTGTCCCGATCTCTATCCCTATCCCTATCCCTATCCCTATCCCTATCCCTGTCTCTGTCTCTGTCCCTGTCCCGATCCCTGTCTCTGCCCCTATACCTGTCGTAATCCCTGTCCCTGTCCCTATCTCTATCCCTGTCTCTGTCACCCCTGCCTCCCCTGTCCCTATCCCTGTCTCTATCCCTATCCCTGTCTCTGTCCCTATCCCTGTCCCTATCCTTGTCCCTATCTCTGTCTCTCTCCCTTTCCCTCGGATCTTTTTCTTTCTCCCGTTCCCCTCTTCGATTCGTGCAGCTGCTACCCGGCCTCTCCTTCCCCTTCTCAAGCGATGCAAAAATCTCCTCCATAGATTTTCCAGGCTGCCCGGGTTTCCCTCCCTTGGTCAATATCGCCCCGACGTTTTCCGACCGGTGCCGTAAAAGTTTCGACCCGGCATCGGCAGCAGACACAGAAGCAGACGAGGGAAGCTTGACTTCTTTCCTCACCCGCCGCCCGTCATCGTCCCCCTCGTGATCCGACGCGTCTCTTGTGCTCCGAGAGGGCGGCAGCTTCGGCCGGCCTGCCGCCCCTCCACCGCCCGTGCTGCCGCCCCTAGGCAACCCCGGTCTATCCTCCCTCCCTCCTCCTCCTAGACCCCCTCCTGTTGCTTCAAGCTTAGCTAAAAGTTTCGCCAATCGTTCCTCCCCTCCCGCACCTCCCCCCCCTCCCTCCCCCCCATCTTTCCTCAGCACCTCCCGGGCAGCCGCGAGAAACGCCTGCAGGGCAGCTTCGGAAGTTTCGTCGTCTGCCCCGACCAATCCGGAGCCGTGCCGGGCAGACGCTGACCGTCTGTCTTTCCCAGCAGCTCCATCAGCATCGGATTCAGCCCCTGATAACGACCCGCTACGACTCATGCCCACACTTCGGGAACGAGGCACTACAGCGGGGGGGAGTCCTGATCCTCCTCCCCCTGCTCCAGCCATCCCCCCCTCCACCACTTTTTTCTTCAGGGCTTCTAGGAGAACTAGCAGATCGCTATGTGGCCCCTCCCCGCCTCCTCCTCCCCCGCCTACTTTTTTCAGGGAAAGAATCGCTTTAAAGAGTAAAGACGAGTCTCCCCCTGCTAGAATCCCCGCCAGTCCTCCCACCCCGGCCCCCCCTGCGTGGTGGTGCGCCCCCCCTCCGCCTCCCCCTGCGCCCGCCCCGCTGCTGGAGCTGGGGCGCGCGCCCCCCCCTGTGCTGCTGCTGACGCTGCTGTCGCGCCTGAACGCGCCCATGACGTCAGCAGTGGCGGGCTTGGGGGGGATTCCGGAGAGGGAGGCGGAGGAGGGGAAGCGCGTTGCTCCCGCGTGCTGCTTCAACCAGCGGTGGGCTGGAGAAGGGGTGGGGGAGGAAAGGGCGGAAGAAGGAAGAGTTTAAGAGGGGAAAAGGGGGAAATGGAAAGTTGGATTCCGGAGAGGGAGGCGGAGGAGGGGAAGCGCGTTGCCCCCGCATGCTGCTTCAACCAGCGATGGGCTGGACAGGGGAAGGGGAAGGTGGGAGGGTGGGGAGAGGGTGGGGGGGGGGGGGGGAGAGTAGAGGAGGAGAAGAGGGGAGGTTGAATAGAAGTCTATTATCTTCAGCTGACATGCTGCTTCAAGCAACAAGGGGCTGGACGGGAAAGGACGCAGCGGTATGGGGAAGAGACTGGGGGGAAGGAGGTGGGTGGGGGAGGGGGGTGGTGGTGAGAGGAGGCGGAGTGAGGGGAGCGAGTTCAACCGACATGCTGTTTCGACCAACGGTGGGCTGGACTGGAGAGGGCCAGAAGGATGCAGCGGTATGGAGAGGACGAAGGGAAAGAAAAGAATCGCTTTTGTTAACGCCCTCCTTCCCACCCACACGCCCTCCCACACGCCCGCAACACGCCCTCCCCCTCCCCCCACACATCACATCCTCCCAACCCCACCTTCACTCACCTAGCGCCTTCTCCGGTGTGATCCGCTTAGACGGGTCCCGTGTGAGCAGCTTAATCACGAGGTCTTTTGCGTCCTGAGACACGCCCTCCCACACGCCCTCCCACACGCCCGTGAACACGTCAATCTTGCCCGTCCCTTACTTTTTCCCCCACTCACCTAGAGCCTTTTCTGGTGTGATCCGCTTGGACGGGTCCCTGGTGAGCAGCTTAATCACCAAGTCCTTTGCATCCTCCCACACGCCCTCCCACACGCCCGTGAACACGTCAATCTTGCCCGTCTTGATCGCTGCACCCACCCATTACCCCACACAGCGCCTTGTCCCCTCCCCACCTCCACCCTCCACTCACCCAGCGCCTTTTCTGGTGTGATTCTCTTCGCAGGATCCCTCGTGAGAAGCTTGATTACGAGGTCCTTGGCGTCTTGAGACACGCCCTCCCATACGCCCGTGAACACGTCGATCTTGCCCGTCTTGATGGCCGCGAAGATGCCCTCCTCCTTCTCCGCCCAGAAGGGCGGCAGGCCGCACAGCAGGATGTAGAGGATCACCCCCACGCTCCACATGTCCGCCTCCAGCCCGTAGCAGTTGTTCAGCACCTCTGGCGCTATGTAGTATGCGCTGCCCGCCATTGTGGTTAGTTTGGCACCTGTTGGCAGTGAAGTTGGGTTACGGGGAGTGGAAAGCGGTGAAGGGGGGTGAGACGTGGTGGGAAATGGTGGAAATTGGTGGGAAGCGGTGAAAAGGGGTGAGAAGGAGGTGGAGAGGGCAGCCCGCACAGCAGGATGTAGAGGATCACGCCGACGCTCCACATGTCCGCCTCGAGCCCGTAGCAGTTGTTGAGCTTCACACCAGTTGGATGCGAAAGTGTATTGAAAATGGGTATTGGGGGAGTGTAACAAGGACCCTTTTCCAAGCATCCATGCTGCTTTTTAATCACCATGGTCCACTCTCAAGTCCTATTGTTATCTTCCACCGATTCCCGTTTCTTAAGGTAACTGGGTACCGTGTTTCCACTAATTCACGTTTCCAGATTCTTAAAGCTCAAGGCCCAAATTGCGGGCCGCGCAGGGCAAGATTAGTAATCTTGCACACTTCTCGTTTTCTGTGCTGGTGTGTGGCGAAAATTTGGTTACAGTAGGTGCGATGCAATCTGATTGGTCGAACCAAAACTCACTGCCAAAACATCGAGTTTTACTACTCTGCAATTTGGGACTCGAGGTCCCCAAACTCACGTTTCCCCCGGAAGCTCGCTGACTCAGCGAAAAAAACAAGTGTTACGGGCGAAATCCGACAGGTCACCTTCCCAACACTCCCCTCGACCCCCACGTTCCCAAACCCACCCCTCACCACGCAAGATTAGTAATCTTGTGCAATTTGGGCCTAGAGCTTTAAGGGCCAAGAACCAGCTCCTGTCAGCCATTTCTGGAAGAATTCTCCTGAACATTTGACTTTTGAGTCGACTCAAAAGTCAACTCGCCATTTCTGGAAGAATTCTCCTGAACATTTGTAACCGTCTTAACTTCTTGCGGCGTTTATATTTGAAAAGCTCACTTCGGAAATAGCAACTAGTCGCTTACCTGGTTTCTCGAAACTGGCGAGCCGCAGTCAACGACTTTGACTCGCGTGCGCTAGGTTTGGCTGACGACGGTCCGGGTTCGTCGCGGTTCGCGAAATTGCACACAGTTCGACATTATTTGTAACTCGGGATAACGAAAAGGGTGCTCACCTGGTTTGACGAAAACCGCGAGGCCGTAGTCGACGACTTTGACTCGCGTGTGCGACGATTGGCTGACGAGCAGAATGTTTTCAGGCTTGAGATCGCGATGCATAAGTCCATGCGACTGGCAGTGTGCGACGACCGACACGAGCGTGCGACAAACCTCCGCAGCCTCGTTTTCCGGGTAATGCTTTCGCTTGCTTATTCGTTCGAAAAGTTCCCCGCCTTCGCACAACTCCATGATCAGGTGCACGCGCTGAGACGAAAACAAGACACAGAAACGAGAGCGAGAAGCGGAGAAAGCGGAGAGAGGTTAAAGGATAAACGCGTCGTTTCTGGAAGGGTTGGTGGAAGGGGAAAGAGCGAAAACGGGTTATGGAGCAGTGAGGACGGCGAAAGAAGGGGAGAAGACACGGGAAAGCAAGAAGCACTCATCATTTCGCGCAATCCCCACTCCATATAGGCGAGAACCCTAAATTGTTGTAAACATTTTTCGAAGCCAAATCGGGAAACTTAAGGGGATAAGAAAAAACGCACCAAACAGCCCAAGCCTCCTACTAATCTTCAATCGCACGGAGCTCGACGACTGCTGCACGGCCTTTAAGCATCTCCCTAATTGTACTCCCGCGCAAACATAATTTCGCTCGCGTATCTATTTTCTCATGCGTAGTACCTTTTGGTCTTCATACGTCGCGCGGAGCTCGATCACGGTGGGGTAGCCTTTCGGCAGCCCTTTTGAATGTACTCGTTTGACGCAAACGCATTATTCGCGTGTCTATTGTCGTACCTTCTGGTCTTCGTACGTGGCGCGCAGCTCGATCACGGCGGGGTGGCCTTTCAGCAGCTCCATCACCTTCACCTCCCTCTGGACGTCCTCCACCTCGCGCGTCCCCGCTAGCTTCGCCTTATTAATGCTCTTACACGCCAGCGACAACCCCGTCGCTTTTTCTGTGCACAAACGGATCACGCCGTATTGCCCGCGACCTAACTCCTTCCCCATGACGTAAAAGTCTTGCACGTTCTCGTACGTCTTTTTGAGGATGTTCACCGTGTGCGGCGCTTCTTTCGCCGCGGCGGAACCCGGCCGGCGAGGGACGTCCTTAACTCCCGTCCGGCTGGCGTCTCCTGAGGCGGCGGACGGTTTGGCTGGGGAGGAGTCTCGAGAGGAACTACCCGGGCCTGTCGTGGCGAGGCTTGGGGCTGATACGGAATCGGTGTCTGACACGTCATCATCAACCTTTTTCCCCGTCGGAGGCCTTTTTCTTCCGAGTGAGAGAAGCCCCATGGTTGCAGTCGCATTAGGAAGTTAAGTTAGGAGGTTTCGCTGACTAAGCTACTCGTTAATCGGTTAGCATTACGAATTAATATCGAATAATGGGGACAGAAGGGTAGTGGAGGACTTCAGCCGTAACGAGCCGAGACGCTCTAGGAAATTGCCCGATGACCTAAGCGTCTTATCACAACACCTCTGGCTGTGCGATTGCAGTCTACTTCAGTACAAGCAATCGCAGCAATGGCGGATCGTCAGTGACAGCAAAAGCAGCAATGGCAGCTCTGTTGTCATTGCCACTACACTACAATCATGCACTCGTATCGTGCCACTAAACTAACTGCGAACGGAGCTAGACTAGAGCTCTGCTTACTCAGTGGATGATGAGCAACTGCCTACCGTACGTGCTTTCACAAATGGCTGGAGTGGAGAGGGACCAACCAAACCAAAGGTGGCTCTTGTTTTGGTTCTTGTGCGCCGCTGAACACTCGTCCCCTCAGGTTCTCTGAACTTGAGGGTAAAACAGTATGACTTATATCGACTCATATCTACACTAAAACGCAAGAACTGAAAATACCTGTATTGGTAATGTAAACCTGAAAAAAGCAATGTCGCGGCCAGTGTGCTGTACTGTACGAGCAGTTTGCGAGCTCCCCGATGTTGCCGCCATTGGTGGCCTGAACCCCAGGGAAGCGCAAAGCGACAGCCACCAGCTGGCAGGCCGTTGGAAAATGGCCTGGCCTGTCTTTCTTGGTCCAACCTTTGCAGGCCTGGAAACCAATAAATGAAGCTAATGCTGGTTTGGCCATACCACGGTGCGAGCTATGGAGGGAGCGAAGGAAATTTGAGTGTCCGGCGTGGTTCATCCAAGCCAACACCAACTGGTTCGGGAACTCAAACCAGCCAATAGTTTCTGGTTTTGACATGGGTCTTGTCGCTTGTTTTGTGGGTTTGGTTTGGTACACAAGACAATCCCTTTCACCCCAGACAACACAAGCACCAGCGAAAAGGTTACAATATACATCCTGCGAAACAACTCGCTTCGTCAAACACTGGCGAAATTCGCTCACAAACTTCTAAGGGGAAATATCATGTAGCAGCCAAAGTGGCCAAACAGAAGAACCACAAATCTCAATATTTCCTACCCTAAGGGCGTGTAACATTGTACTGACCAACCTAAAAAAAGGACCATTTGGCGGTTCTTGTTACGAATAGTAATATTTGTTCATTACTGTGCACTCCTCACCGCACCAAATGAAGCATGCAGTATCGAGAATGAACACGAAGAGTCAGAGTTGGTTCGAAGCGTCAGACGGTTAAGCTGCATCTGGACCGTCGGAGCAGATGGCATCGGACAGCTGCAGGCAGGATGGTTTGGGCGGCAACAGTTTCGCAACTGTACGCGCCGCACGGTTGGGAATGAATTTGAATAAGGGAATGTACCCCTTTAGATTACATGGCTAGCTATGACGTTTCGCCTTCCTTGTACTCATATTTAGATTTGCTGTAACTGCATGTTTTAATCATCCCAAGCATTTTACATTCACTCTGCGATCGAGGTCAAAGGCCCACCAAACTTCATTTCTTCGTGTGCGAACCTTCCCCTGTAGATCCTAGGGATGATCAACTTCTGATCGTGGCAGTTCTGACGATTGCAAACTATTTGGGGTTACACCCACTGATTAGCATTACGTGGTATTTTCATTTAATTTTGGATCGTCGACATTCGCGACTTGTCCTACTCTTATTCATGGAGGGGGGTATTGTTTGATATCCGGTTATTTCCCCCGAATTTTTTTCGGGGCTCTATGAACTTGAAAAACACTACTGCCTGTTCCCCGAATATTTAACGCCCCGTTCGAATTCTGGACCTTTGATTAAACTTTTAATTCTAATTACGGAGGTAGTTCAGGGTGGGTGCCCCACAGCTCGCGAGCAAAATGGTCGTTCTGTTCGAAATGTGTGGCGGGGTTCGTTAAAGTGTTACACGTTTCGCATTCGCATGACCCAACCATTTGGTCGGATTTTAGGCTTGGTTGATACAATGTTACACGCGCTAAGTCCTGCTAACTTACGCTCTATGCTTTAAACTTTGTTACGATATGAAATTCAATGAGAAGGCATTCCTGTATGCTTCAGGAGTCGACTCTACCGAGTGCGAACTAGTCGAGGCGTCAGAAGAGTCGAAGCGACGCCAGCAAACCGTCAGATCAAGACCGATGCAGGCAATTAACATTTGAAGTGAAAAGAGCGGGAACAGGTTTGAAACTGGTTCCCGCGCCGCACGGTTTGAACTTCGCTGCAATAAGGGAATGTACCCCTTAGAGTACATAACTAGTCAAGGACCTTTCGTATTCCCTGTTTTTCTTATATGAACTCGATGTATGCATGCTATTATCATCTCAGTCATTTTACATTCACTCTGATCTGAGGTCAACACATTCGCTACAATACCACCTGCGAACAATCCTGAGTCGATCCCTGGCTAAGTCCCACTTGGGATTGTAACATGGTATGAGAGCTACTCTGAGATTCTTCGCAACGCCACTTGCGTAAAATTCGCCGAACCTAGATCTGGCGAGCGGCACACGCTCCAAGACCAAGATGGCCGGAGGATCCGGAGGCCAAACGAATCTGACGGCCGAAGGACAAACCAACCCGGCTGCGACAAATGAGGTGACAACCACGATCAGCACTGCCGCACTCGAGCAGTTATTCTCGCGACTATCAACTATGGAGAAAGAACTCCAAGAATTGCGCAAAGGCGACGCGGGAACCTCTTCCCAACCAGCTCAACCTGGTCAACCTGGTGCATAAGGTCGTGATATCGCCGCGCACACCTTCTCCCTCGACACAGACAAATCAACAACAACAGCCCCCCGTCCAAGTGATGAAACCATCAACTCTGCGCAACCAAGATTTCTCAGTGTCTTAAAAATTAAGACCGCTGCCGCGTTTGACGGCAAGGATTTTTATACATGGAGTTTTGAGCTGGAGCTCCTCCTACAAACAGCGCAGATCTACCACTACTTTGACGGCTCCTATCCCAAGCGGGTGGAAGACACCGAAGACGCCGGGGCTCAGTACTACAGTGAGTCTCTCATGGCGTAGAGTGTGCTGCTACGCAATATGACGCCTGCGGAACAACTCGGCATTCGCTCCTACAAAGAGAGCGCCGCTCCAGCCCTGGAAGCCTGGAAGCACCTCGTTGAGGTATATCAGCCGAAGGATTCAGTCACCGCCAGCAGGCTTCTGCTGCAACTCATGGAGACAAAGATGGGGCACGGGGAGAAAGCGAATACATACATTAACCGCTGTCGGAACATCCGTGACCAGATCACAAAGCATGGAAGTGCTATTTCGGATGAGATCTTCGTTAATATCATCCTCCAAGGACTCGGGCCCGAGTGGAAGCCCTGCAAAGCGCTACTCCGACAACGAGGAATCATCTCCGAAGTCGCGTTATGCGCCGCCCTCCTGACTGAACAGTAGGACATTGATTCGAGCAGGACAAGCTCTTCTACGCAGACAACCGTGAAGAGCGACGACAACCAAGGCGCCACTATTGCAAAATCTGCAAAATCTTCGGACACTCAACGGACTGATGCAAATCCCGGTCCAACTATCGCCACCCGAATTCCACTTGCCACAACAATTGGGTCAGCCAACAAGAAGCTCGTCAATCTTAGCTTCATCAACAAGCTCCTCGTCCTCCTGCATAACCAAAACAACAACAGACACAAGCGCATCAACCAAGAGCTCCTAGAAACGTCATCGCAAACATGGCGACAAGGCGCCGCCTACGCACTGCTGAACCGGACGAAGAAGAAGAACCTCGCGGCGAGCTCATTCAACCTGAAGACGGGTGGAACAATCCCCTCACGGAGGACCACTACTACCTGTACAACGAGGACGAACAAGACTGGCATCAGCCGATACAATTGGGGGAAAGCCCACCACATGACAATCAGCGCTTCGTACCTGTGGGATGGAAGGAGGATGAAAATCCAAACTTTCATAGAAGACTCAAGGCAACTCGAGTAACTCCAAGGCTCGCGCTACTCTTGCGCAACGACCACAGAAACGACAACACCTAGTACCTCGACAGCAGCTGCGGCCAACACATGGTGGGATTCGTCAGGTACATCCCCAACATCAGTTGCGCCCCTGCTACCTTCGTTACTGTCACCAACAAGGAGCAACTGCGAACAAGTAAACAAGGCATAGTAGTACTGCAAGCCCGAGACAGCAACACGCACATCTCGTTCAACGACGTGCTCTACGTGCCAGACCTCCGCTTCAACCTATTGTCGGCAGGACAACTCAGAGACTGTGGAGTCATGCTCGCCACAGACCTGTATACGCGCGATCTCATCCTGACCTACGCTCTTCTAAATACTCCCCCCGAGTCGCACAAATACCTTGGCCGAGCCCAATCAATGAACGGCGTTTACGTGTTGGACTTCGACATCCCCAACTGCCATGCTTCATCAGATGAGCTTGTTGACCTCGTTCCCCTGGACTTCCCGTTCATGAACAGGGAATCATGGTAGCATCCGGACGGTCGACCGTGGATTCGCCACAGTCTTCACGCTCGTGAGATCAATCTGCACCAAGTCGGCCCCGACGGACTCTGCACAACCTGCTTCAGACCCACAGTAAGCCGCACAGAGGAGGTGGAACGAGACCTTGCGGCGATTCAAGAAGCAGAAAGCGCCGAGGCAGAAGCTGAAGGCATGACAGAAATGGAGTTGGCTGTCTCAACCCACCGCGTCTTCGGCACAAGAGACGAAACCCTCAGAATCTAACGGGAGGAACGACCCACGCCTGCCTCAGACACACTCCGCTGGGTCCTGGAAGCAACCACCGGAACCTTCGATGAAGAAAATTGACCTCATCCATATCCTCGGGAGGTTTACCGCCACATCGACACGGAGTGGAAAGACCCCGATAAATCTGAAGAACTCAGCGTAAAGGAAGAAGAAGAAGAAAAGGCAGCAGCTGAAAGAAGGGAGAAGTTGTACCAGGAGCGCATCGCGGCAGGATGGGACGAAGAGTCTGCACGACGTGGGGGTTGGGGAGACGATGACAACGGCGCTAGGAGCAACATGGGGATCAGCGACTGGGGCATCTTACACTGCTCATGGATGGAGAGAACCAGAGCAACGCCGACTCACCGAAGGCGAGCTGATCCGAGAAGAGATAAAGGAAGCCGAGAGAGAAATTACGGCTTAGCAACTTGCACCACGAGTCGCCATCCCACTTGGTCGCCGACCCCGCCAACTCCCATCACAACCCCGCTCACCTCGTCGCTGGGAGGATCCTTGGTCGGAGATTGAGGGGAGGAACGTGCCAACAACTCCGCCCCGTGACTCACTTGGACCAATTTCCCGCCCAGATCCGTTTGCCCGCCTCATTGAGGGCACCACAACCCCGCTCAACATCATCTTAGACCGCAACTTCCTCACGCTCTATCTTACAATAGCACCTGCAGAAGGGGAGCTAGCAGCAGAAGCAGAAGCAGAGGAGCCGAACAACGAAGCAGAACCAGGAGAAGAAGAAGGACGAATACTCCTGATCCCTCACGAGACAGAAGCGGAAGCGGCGGAGCATCACGCACGATACCTGCGCACCTCGGGAATTCGCGCAGATGAAGACCTCTGGCACCAGCGACTCGGTCATCCCTCGCGCCAGACGTTCAACAACTGCCTCCGCGCCAAAGTTTTTCTGCCAGGAGCACTGCTGCGCCCCGAAGGCACGGAACCCCTTAGCACAACACATCCTACTACCTACACCATCTGCCCCACTGCAGCACTCACGCACCAAGCTTACCCCTCCCTGGAGCCAGGCACAAACCGCTATAAAAGGTTACAGAAAGTCTACAACGACTTCATCGTGCTTACCTTCGACGAGATCAATGGCGAGCGATACACACTCACCTTCGTGGATGCGTACTGACGCTATGTCTGGATCGTCAACGTCGACGTTCGTTCCAAAGCTCCTGGGTCTTCCACATCTGGCTTGCACACGCGCAACGATAATCAGGAAAGAAACTGAAAATTTGGCAGACTAACGGGGCCAAGGAGTTCCAGAGCCACGATCTGGAAAGCGTTGTCGCAGAGAAGGGGATAAAGCATCAGATCTCTCTCCCCTACGCTCATCAGCAGCAAGGCGTCGCTGAGAGGGTCAATCGCACTCTCATGACAAAAGTGTGCGCCCTCATGAACCAGTTCGGCCTACCCAAAAAATATTGGCCGTATGCCATGAACCACGCCGTGCGCCTCCAAAACCTTCTCTCCACCACGGCCAACAGGGGCAACCTCTCCCCGCACATGAAATGGACTAGCTCAAGGGGAGATACCTCCATGCTGAGGGTTTGGGGGGTGTGTGGTGCAATATCGACTGACTTCGGCCACCATTGGCGAATTCACTCACCGCGCACGCAGGGGGAGTCCACCTAGGACTCAGTCACGAGTATCAGGGCTGGCTAATCTTCGACATCGACACCAGCCAAATCGTTCCTGCACGCGACATTCTCTTCTACGAACGTCTCACCTTGCACAAGTGGATCGAGGACGAACGCCGCAACGTCGCCCGCGCCTACGCCAACAGCAGCCGCAGCTTTGCATCCCCAGAAGACGAGGCAGCAGCAGCAACACTCGACCGCGACCCCGCCGACGAACACCCCAGCGTACCGCCTCGCCCACGCGACGACAACGACGATGACGACAGCGATGATACGCCCGCGCCAGCACCATCACGACGCCACTCTGAGCCAACGCCTTCCTCACTTGGCCACGAGAGCGACGATGATGACGTGGTGGAAGTCCCCATCACAGACACTGCAGACACCACCAATGTGTCTGGCCTACAACTTCTTGGCCTTCACACGTCTGTCACTACTCTCACACGTGCCATCGAGCCCAAGAATCCACACCAGGCCCTGACTAGTCCTCACGCTAAGGAGTGGTGTGTTGGTATGGACGCAGAACTAAAGGCGCTGGAATCGCGTGACACCTGGGTTCTCGTCGATCGTGCAGCAGTGAAGGGGAGGAGGGTGCTAAGCGGAAAGTGAGTTTTTTTACCTAAAAACCAATGCTGACGGCACTATCGAGCGCTTCAAAGCACGTTGGGTCGTACGCGGGTACGACCAGCGCCACGGTATTGACTTCGATCAAACCTTCGCTCCTGTCAATCGTCACACCTCCGTCAGGATTCTACTCGCCATTGCTGCCGCCAAGTACCTACCACTACGGCAGATCGACGTTAAGAATGCGTTAAGAACGCGCTGGTGGACGCAACCATCTTCGTGGAGCAGCCACACACCTACGGGGAAGGAGACTCCAGGGTCTATCAGCTGATGAAATCCCTCTACGGGATAATACAGGCGCCGCGTCTCTGGCAGCAGCACTTGCACAAAATCCTCCTGGAAATCGGCTTCAGGCAGCTGCCGCACGACCAGGGAATGTATCGCCTCCACTTCAACGACGACTACATCCTCCTGGCAGTCTATATCGACGACCTGCTTTACACCAGCACTTGCAAAAACTCCTTAACCAGTTTGAGGAGAATCTGCCGCAGCGCGTAGACGTCACCATTAACCACAAAGTCACACAGTTCTTGGGGTTGAACATCACTTATGCGCCAGAAGCATTTCATCTGTCAGTATCCAAGTACGCAGAGCAGCTGGGGGAACGCTTCAACATCTCACCCGCACCACTCTCCACTCCTTACCGCAACCCCAGCGCCAACTACAAACCGGATAACAAACCTCTGTCGCCCGCAGAACTTCAATTGTACCAGCAGAAATTGGGGTGCTTGTTGTTCGCCTCTGTCACATGCCGACCCGACCTTTCGTACATCGCCAGCCAACTGGCACAATACTCCTACAAGCCAATAGTTGAGAACCAGCTGGACTTGGATCGCACCCAGCAGTACTTCATCTCCACACCTGACATCGGGCTCTCCTACTCCACGCTGGCAACAACCTCCTTCAACCTCAACGGCTACGTGGACGCAGATCATGCCGCTGACCCTGCGAATCGACGGTCACGAACCGGCTTTGTCTTCCGCGTGGAACCAACTGGACCAATCTCCTGGAACTCACGGAAGCAGGAACTTGTTGCCCTGTCATCGGCCGAAGCAGAATACATCGCCGCGACAGCAGCAGTTCGCGAAGGCCTGTACCTGCAGGAGCTGTTGCAGGAAGCGAAAATCCCAACTTCGCCTACCTTTCGCTTTCACTGCGACAACCAGAGCGCTATCAAGATCGCGAACAAACCGGGGTTGGTGAACCGCACGAAGCACATGCCTGCACTTGGCGACTGCGATTTTTTTCGTATGTTTCATACGCGACAAAACAGGGTCCTTCTGCACTTGTTTCATGCGACTGCCTGACCTGGTTCGCTGACACAGCACGTGCGAATGGTTTCGCGCGACCACTTCATCTCGCAACACTGCATATTTTCAAGGATAACAAACAGTGTTTGTAACGAAATCGCTAGAAATACCAAGTCTGACAAGAAGGAGGCCTGATCAGGGGCCACGTTCTGCCTACTGACCTTTTGAGTATAGAATTCAGCCACTCCCAGCAGGGGAGGCTCCATCAAGGGAAGGCTTATCTATCTACTGCTCGTTTAAGCTGAGAAGGGAGAGAGGGCGGGTTTGTTTGCCTGCGCCTGCAGCAAGAGTGCCTTCTCGACCCCCTCGAGCACCTCAATCACTTCCATGAAGGACGGGCGAGCCATGGGGTCCGCCGCCCAACACCGGGATATCAAACTGAGAGTGTGGGAGATGGGAAAGGGAGAAACAGTGGAGACTGAGTGGATAGGGGGAGGCAGAGATGTGGGAAAGCAGGGCCACCCTCTCGACTCCCTTGGCGCCCATGGCCACCTTGGCAGCCTTGGCAACCTTGGCACCAGGAGCGCCCTCTCCACCCCCTCGAGCACCTCAATCACTTCCATGAAGGACGGGCGAGCCATGGGGTCCGCCGCCCAACACCGGGATATCAAACTGAGAGTGTGGGAGATGGGAAAGGGAGAAACAGTGGAGACTGAGTGGATAGGGGGAGGCAGAGATGTGGGAAAGCAGGGCCACCCTCTCGACTCCCTTGGCGCCCATGGCCACCTTGGCAGCCTTGGCAACCTTGGCACCAGGAGCGCCCTCTCCACCCCCTCGAGCACCTCAATCACTTCCATGAAGGACGGGCGAGCCATGGGGTCGGCCGCCCAACACCGGGATATCAACTGGTAAGAAAAGACGGGGAGAGGGAGAGAGAAAGCAGGAAGTGAGGGAGTGAGGGAGCAAGGGAGAGGGAGTGAGGGAGAGAGGGAGTGAAGGAAGCAGGGGAAACAGGAGAGAGGGAAAGTGAATAGGGGGAGGGAGGGGAGGAAGAGAGGTGGGAAAGCAGGAGCGCCTTCTCCACCCCCTCGAGCACGTCAATCACCTCCATGAAGGACGGGCGAGCCATGGGGTCCGCCGCCCAACAGCAGGATATCAAACTGGTAAGGGGGAGATGGGGAAAGAGGGAGTGACTCGCGGGGGGGAGAGGAAAGGCAGGGATGAGGGAAAGCAAGAGTGCCTTGTCAACCCCCTCGAGCACTTGAATCACTTCCATGAAGGACGGGCGAGCCATGGGGTCCGCCGCCCAACAGCGGGATATCAAACTGGCGAGGGGGAGAGAGGCGGGAGAGAGGCGGGAGAGAGGCGGGAGAGAGGCGGGAGAGAGGGGGAGAGAGGGGGAGAGAGGGGGAGAGAGGGGGAGAGAGGGGGAGAGAGGCGGGAGAGAGGGGGAGAGAGGCGGGAGAGAGGGGGAGAGAGGCGGGAGAGAGGGGGAGAGAGGCGGGAGACACCACAAGTGAGACGCTTCAGAACATGAATTGACCAATCCGAAAACCCCGAATCCCAATCATGGCACCTTTTGAGACGCGTTACAAGTCGAACCCCAGATTGCACATCTGACAAGGAACCTGACACAGCACCTGACACAGCACCTGACACAGCACCTGACTCAGCACCTGACACAGCACCTGACTCAGCACCTGACACAGCACCTGACACAGCACCTGACACAGCACCTGACTCAGCACCTGACTCAGCACCTGACTCAGCACCTGACACAGCACCTGACACAGCACCTGACACAGCACCTGACACAGCACCTGACACAGCACCTGACTCAGCACCTGACTCAGCACCTGACTCAGCACCTGACTCAGCACCTGACTCAGCATCTGACTCAGCATCTGACTCACCATCTGACTCAGCATCTGACACACTGACTCACTCTTTTACTCCTTCCGGGTACGACTTGGATTTGAAGGGCGGCCTGATGCCCTCCATTGCCACCTTCCATGCCACTCCCTCTGGCGTCATGGTCTTTGCAAAGGGCGGTAGGCCCTCAAACATCTGAAAGAGCAGATGGAGGAGAGGGGAGAGGGGATTTTGAGAGGAGCAGAAGGGGAGCGTAGGCAAAGGCGTAGAGGATAAGTGCTGCTTCTAGTGGCGGCCTGATGCCCTCCATCCATTGTCACCTTCCATGCCACTCCCTCTGGCGTCATGGTCTTTGCAAAGGGCGGTAGGCCCTCAAACATCTGAGAATGAAATCAAGAGGTTGGAAGGGGAGGCGGCAAGGGGAGGAGGCAAGGGGAGGAGGCAAGGGGAGGAGGCAAGGGGAGGAGGGAGGGATAGGGAGGGGGAAGGCGTGGGGAAAGGAGGAGGGGTCAGCAGGAGGAAGGGGAAACAGCGCACGAGAGAATATTTCCTCAATGAGTTGAGAAAACCGGTCCACAACTGGTCTTGAGAAAACCGCACCAACAACATGCTTCACAGTCCATCACAGCTGTCCATCTCATCTCACCTCGTAGAGGATAAGAGAGGAGTATCTACAGTGCGATCGTAGGCCTGGTGCTTGAACATCTACAGTGCGATCGTAGGCCTGGTGCTTGAACATCTACAGTGCGATCGTAGGCCTGGTGCTTGAACATCTACAGTGCGATCGTAGGCCTGGTGCTTGAACACCTACAGTGCGATCGTAGGCCTGGTGCTTGAACATCTACAGTGCGATCGTAGGCCTGGTGCTTGAACATCTACAGTGCGATCGTAGGCCTGGTGCTTGAACATCTACAGTGCGATCGTAGGCCTGGTGCTTGAACACCTACAGTGCGATCGTAGGCCTGGTGCTTGAACATCTACAGTGCGATCGTAGGCCTGGTGCTTGAACATCTACAGTGCGATCGTAGGCCTGGTGCTTGAACATCTACAGGGCGATCGTAGGCCTGGTGCTTGAACATATACAGTGCGATCGTAGGCCTGGTGCTTGAACATCTCTGGAGGGACCCACGGAGCAGTGGCAATCGCAACCGTCCATCTCACCTGGCAGACAATCATAGCCGTCCATCTCAACTTCAGATCATCTCACCTCGTAGAAGATGACAGAGAAGGAGTAGACGTCGACAGTGCGGTCATAAGCCTGGTGCTTGAACACCTCTGGCGCCATGTAGCGGTCTGGGGGAGGGAGGGGCAATGGAGAGAAACAGTTCAGGCGCCATGTAGCGGTCTGGGGGAGGGAGGGGCAATGGAGAGAAACAGTTCAGGCGCCATGTAGCGGTCTGGGGGAGGGAGGGGCAATGGAGAGAAACAGTTCAGGCGCCATGTAGTGGTCTGGGGGAGGGAGGGGCAATGGAGAGAAACAGTTCAGGCGCCATGTAGCGGTCTGGGGGAGGGAGGGGCAATGGAGAGAAACAGTTCAGGCGCCATGTAGCGGTCTGGGGGAGGGAGGGGCAACGGAGAGAAACAGTTCAGGCGCCATGTAGCGGTCTGGGGGAGGGAGGGGCAATGGAGGGAGGGGGGAGAAACAACAATTCAGAGGAGGGAGAGGTAAGAGCATATCACGAGCACACAGTGCGGTTGTATGCCTGGTGTGGTGCTTGAAGACCTCTGGTGCCATGTAGCGGTCTGGGGGACAGGGAGAGGTGACTTTTGAGTCGACTCAAAAAGTCACCTGGGGGACAGGGAGTGGAAAGACGGAGCAGTGCTGGTGAGAAAATGATGAGGGTTAAGTTCGGTCGGTCGTAGGCCTCGTTTGCCAGAGAAAGGAGAGAGGAGGAACGGTACATTATTGCTCCGCAAACAGCAAGCAAGCAAGCCTACGTATTTAGCAAATCATTAGAAAAGGAGCTTGCTACACTCACAGCTGCCTGTCTCCCTGGTCATCTCGTACATCTCATGCAGCGCGCTCACCTTCACCAACTTGCTGAGAGCTTGGTGCTGCAACTGCTACACCAGGTCAGCAAACACCTTCCTGCACAACATAGATACACTCACCGCTGCCTGTCTCCCTGGTCATCTTGTACATCTCATGCAGCGCGCTCACCTTTACCAGCTTGCTCAGACAGAGCTTGGTGCTGCCACTACTACACCAGATCAGCAAAGATCTTCCGACACAGCACACATTCACTCTACACCACCGATGCACTCACAGCTGCCCGTCTCCCCTGTCATCTTGTACATCACATGCAGCGCGTTCACCTTCACCAGCTTGCTCAGACCAAGTGTGACTTTTGAGTCGACTCAAAATGACTTTGTTGACTTTTGAGTCGACTCAAAATGACTTTGTTGACTTTTGAGTCGACTCAAAATGACTTTGTTGACTTTTGAGTCGACTCAAAATGACTTTGTTGACTTTTGAGTCGACTCAAAATGACTTTGTTGACTTTTGAGTCGACTCAAAAGTCTGCTCAGACCAAGTGTTAAGACGTCCACATTACCCCCAGCCCACCCACTCACATCACATCTTGCCCCTGTAACCACAACTGCCAGTCCCCCCAACGGAGCTACTCACAGCTGCCGGTCTCCCCGGTCATTCACTCCACAGCACGGACGCACTCACAGCCTCTCTCCCTCCCCCGTTACTCACAGCCTCTCTCCCTCCCCCGTTACTCACAGCTGCCGGTCTCCCCAGTCATCTTGTACATCTCATGCAGCGCATTCACCTTCACCAGCTAGGCCAACCCAGGTGTTGAGACGCCCCATAACCCCCAGCACAGCACACCCACTCACATCACATCTTGCCCCTGTACCCACACCTGCCAGTCACCCTTCCCAATTACTCACAGCTGCCGGTCTCTCCGGTCATCTTGTACATCTCATGCAGCGCATTCACCTTCACCAGCTTGCTCAAACCAAAGTCCGCCACCTTTAGGTGATCACCCTCGTCCCGAATGAGGTTTCTGGGGGTACGAAAAAAGAGACAAGGGCCAAGGAGGGGAGGAAGGCAAATGAGTGGAGGGAGAAGAAAGGAACACGAGACCACCATCTTAAGCTTCTTGGAGGGGAGACCAAGACACACCGGAAGGAGGTTCAAGAGGCCACCTTACTAACCAGTTCACCAACCAGTTCTGGCAAAACATAAGGCACAACGGTTGGGATCAAGATTGCATATAGTGCAGTGGGACTAAGACACTTTGGTTAAAACGAGGTGACTTTTGAGTCGACTCAAAAGTCACCTCATATAATGTAGTGGGACTAAGACACTTCGGCTAAAACTCTGAGGTGGAAACAGGAAGAAGGAAAACGTGGGACAACACAAAGCACAGGAAAACGTGGAACAATACAAAACATACGTTTGTTTGGAGTTGAAACAGCTTATAGCAGGTCAACAACGCACCGTGGTTTGAGGTCTCTGTGAATGATGGACTCTGGCTTGTGGTTGTGCAGGTAGTTCATTCCCCTGACGCAAGGGTTGGATGGATGGGGTTGATGCACACACACAGGGTGCCAGCCAAAACGGAAGGAAGAGGGGAGGTAGTTCATTCCCCTGATGAGTGATGGTGGGTGAGACGCCAACATACACACTCGGTGAAGATGCTGGAAACGGGGTGGAGGGAGGGTTGAGGCGTCTCCAAAATTGCGGGTAGAGAATCGACTTTTGAGGCGCCTCAAAATGGATGAGGCGCCTCAAAATGGATGAGGCGCCTCAAAATGGATGAGGAGCCTCAAAATGGATGAGGAGCCTCAAAATGGATGAGGAGCCTCAAAATGGATGAGGCGCCTCAAAATGGATGAGGCGCCTCAAAATGGATGAGGCGCCTCAAAATGGATGAGGCGCCTCAAAATGGATGAGGCGCCTCAAAATGGATGAGGCGCCTCAAAATGGATGAGGCGCCTCAAAATGGATGAGGCGCCTCAAAATGGAAGAGGCGCCTCAAAATGGATGAGGCGCCTCAAAATGGATGAGGCGCCTCAAAATGGATGAGGCGCCTCAAAATGGATGAGGCGCCTCAAAATGGATGAGGCGCCTCAAAATGGATGAGGCGCCTCAAAATGGATGAGGCGCCTCAAAATGGATGAGGCGCCTCAAAATGGAAGAGGCGCCTCAAAATGGATGAGGCGCCAACAACATACACGTTCAGTGCTGATACAGGGAAAGGGGGTGAAGGGAGGGCTTTCTTTTCCTATGGGAGATGGGGTCACTTCTGAGACTTTGCGAGCCAATACTGGGTAAGTTAGTCATTTCTGCGGTGCACTATAAATGACAATGACTCGGGCAATGAACTCCATCACCTCGCAATGTCCAGTCCATATTCCACCGCTACTCCGGGTTGTGTCAAAGGAACTCTAAACACAAACTTAACCCCCTCACCCGTGAGATTAGCTCAACTCCCTCACCTCGCAATGTCCAGTCCATATTCCACCGCTACTCCGGGTTGTGTCAAAGGAACTCTAAACACAAACTTAACCCCCTCACCCGTGAGATTAGCTCAACTCCCTCACCTCGCAATGTCCAGTCCATATTCCACCGCTACTCCGGGTTGTGTCAAAGGAACTCTAAACACAAACTTAACCCCCTCACCCGTGAGATTAGCTCAACTCCCTCACCTCGCAATGTCCAGTCCATATTCCACCGCTACTCCCGGTTGTGTCAAAGGAACTCTAAACACAAACTTAACCCCCTCACCCGTGAGATTAGCTCAACTCCCTCACCTCGCAATGTTCAGTCCATATTCCACCGCTACTCCGGGTTGTGTCAAAGGAACTCTAAACACAAACTTAACCCCCTCACCCGTGAGATTAGCTCAACCCCCTCACCTCGCAATGTCCAGTCCATTATTCCACCGCTATTTCGGGTTGTGTCAAAGGAACTCTAAACACAAACTTAACCCCCTCACCCGTGAAATTAGCTCAACCCCCTCACCTAGCAATGTCCAGTCCGTATCCCACCGCTATTTTGGGCGGGGGGGTAGAACGCAACCTAATCCAGCCCTTCACTAGCCCGTCAGCAATCAACCCCCCACCTCACCAGGTCCTCTCAACCCCCTCACCTGGCTATGTCCAGGCCGTATCCCACAGCTATTCTGGCCCGGCAGTAGGACACACCCTAATCCAGCCCTTCACTAGCCCCCCAGCAATCAACCCCCCACCTCACCAGGTCCTCTCAACCCCTTCACCTGGCTATGTCCAGGCCGTATCCCACAGCTATTCTGGCCCGGCAGTAGGACACACCCTAATCCAGCCCTTCACTAGCCCCCCAGCAGTCAACCTCTCACCTCCCAACCCCTCACCTGCCGATCCCAGTCCCTCACCTGCCGATCCCAACCCCTCACCTGCCGATCCCAACCCCTCACCTGCCGATCCCAACCCCTCACCTGGCGATGTCCAGTCCGTATCCCACCGCTATTCTGGGCGGCAGGGCGCCCTTGGCCTTGAGCACGTCGTGTAGGTCGCCCTGTGGTGTGGGGAGGCAGGAGGGAGGGGAGGAGATGTGAGGATGGGTGTGGGAAGAGCGGGTGGAGACGAGAGAGGGTAGTAGAGGCAGGGCGCATTTGGCCTTGAGCACGTCATGTAGGTTGCCCTGTGGTGTGGGGTGCAGGAAGGAGGGGAGGGGTTGAGAGGGAGCCAGGCGTGAGTGAGTGGGTGATGGGTTGAGAGAGTGGAGGGTGAAGGGTTGAGAGTGGGAGTGAAGGGTGGAGAGTGGTGAGAGGAAGGAGGAAGGGAGGAGAGAGTGTGGGGAGGCACAGAGATGGCAGGGAGGAACGGCGGCATGGAGGAACGGCGGCAGGGAGGAATGTACGTGGTAGCACTCATCCAGGCAGATATTCGGTGACGAGGCACAGGGGAGGGCGGTGGGTGCACCCAAGGAACTGCACTGTTAAGCAGTCTACAGCACGCATCCCCCATTCAGCACACTGCATTGCACATCATACACTCTGCAGTGACTCACCCCAGGGAGGTACTCGGTGACAAGGCACAGGGGCGGGCGGCGGGTGACGCACCCCAGGAACTGCACAATGTTGGGATGCCGCAGCTTGGGCAGCAGAAACATTTCGTCCCGGAACTCTTTTCTGCCCCCATCAGGGAAGAGTGAAATGAGAAGGAACAAGGACAGAAAGGGGAAAAAAAATGGCATGTGATACCATTTAGAGACCTCCTGGTCGGCAGGTTGCACCAGAACCATCACACAAACAACAACAGGATTGTCTTGGCGGCCACTGGAGTGGAGTGCCTCTCCGCATGTCAAAAGAGCAGGAAATTTCTGAGTCGACTAAAGAGCAGGAAGTTTCGGCTCTTTTGACATGCCGAAATTTCGGCAGGCATGCAGAATGAGACACTCACGTGATCTGCACGTCGTCTGATAGAGCCGGCAGGATTGTCTTGGCGGCCACTGGAGTGCCTCTCCACATGACCCGCCTGATCTCACCGAACGCACCCTGGGATGAACGGAGGGGGGGAGGAGGGAACGAGGAGCAGAAGCGGGAGGGAGGGAGGGAGGGAGGAAAGGAGGGAGGGATGGGGGGAGGAGGGAGAGAGGAATGGGGGCCGGAAGAAGTAGGTAGGAAATTGCTTCGAATTGCTGAAGTCCATTTTGCACACAGAATAACTCACACTCACTCACGCCCACCTTTCCAACGAGCTTTGACTTGCTGAAATCCAGCTCCGATGGGTTTATCTTCCAGTCGTCCCATGAATGAACACACATCCCTAGCCTCTCAAAACATCTCTTTTATCACGTGTCTAATGAACACACATCCCTAACCCCCACATTCGTGCACTTACTCACTCACTCATTGCACTCTCTCTTTTGAGGCAACTCAAAACTCATTGCACTCTCTCTTTTGAGGCGCCTCAAAACTCATTGCACTCTCTCTTTTGAGGGGCCTCAAAACTCATTGCACTCTCTCTTTTGAGGCGTCTCAAAACTCATTGCACTCTCTCTTTTGAGGCGCCTCAAAACTCATTGCACTCTCTCTTTTGAGGCGCCTCAAAACTCATTGCACTCTCTCTTTTGAGGCGCCTCAAAACTCATTGCACTCTCTCTTTTGAGGCGTCTCAAAACTCATTGCACTCTCTCCCACTCCCTCTCACTCACACCCACCTTGCCTATGAGCTTCGATTTGCTGAAGTCCAGCTCCGACGGGTCTATCTCCCAGTCGTCCGCTTCTGCACCCTGTGGTGGTAACGGGGGTGGTGTGAGGTTGGGTGCGGTTTGGCACGGTTTGACAGGGTGTGGTGTGATTCGGCGTGCTGGTAATGGGTGTAATTTGATTTCGTAATTTCTGAAGATTGCATTTTTTTCCCTTCCCTTATCAATGTAATGCATCACAGGCACAATCATCTCGCCTCTCTTTGAGCACACAATCATCACAGGCACTCCGTCCCACCATTCCTCACCATCCACACCATTCATTGCCACTCTCCACCACTCCCCACCGCTCCTCACCACCCCTTCAATGTGCTGTGCTTCAACAGCACTTGAACTATCAATGCAGCGCATCTCCTCTCTTTCAGCACACACTCACCAATCGCTCTCCGTCCCACCAATCCTCACAACTCCACACCATTCCTCACCATTCTCCACCCCCTCCCACCGCTCCTCACCACTCACCCCCTCAATGCCGCCATGCTTCAAGAGCACTTGAATGATCTCCAGGAACCCCTCCTTCCTCTCCCTTATCAATGCAGCGCATCTCTCCTCCTTGTCAGCACAAAGACCATATGCATCCCCTCTCACCGCTCCTCACCACTCACCCCCTCGATGCCGCCGTGCTTCAAGAGCACTTGAATGATCTTCGGGACCTGCCCCTTCTTCCCCTCCCTTATCAATGCACAAGGATCACAAGCACTCCGCCCCACCACTCCTCACCACTCCTCACCACTCCTCACCACTCCTCACCACTCACCCCTTCAATGCCGCCGTGCTTCAAGAGCACTTGGATAATCTCCGGAAACTGCCCCTTCTTCCCCTCCCGCATGGCCTTGCGCGCATCTGTCAGTGGCTGTGCGGCGGGGGGAAGAGGGGATGGGAGGGGGGAGAGGTGTAGGGTTGAGGGGAGTGCGGATGTAAGGGGAGCGCGGATGTATGGGGAGTGCGGATGTATGGGGAGTGCGGATGTATGGGGAGCGCGGATGTATGGGGAGCGCGGATGCATGGGGAGTGCGGATGTATGGGGAGTGCGGATGTAAGGGGAGCGCGGATGTATGGGGAGTGCGGATGTATGGGGAGTGCGGATGTATGGGGAGCGCGGATGTATGGGGAGCGCGGATGCATGGGGAGTGCGGATGTATGGGGAGTGCGGATGTAAGGGGAGCGCGGATGTATGGGGAGTGCGGATGTATGGGGAGTGCGGATGTATGGGGAGCGCGGATGTATGGGGAGCGCGGATGCATGGGGAGTGCGGATGTATGGGGAGTGCGGATGTATGGGGAGTGCGGATGTATGGGGAGTGCGGATGTATGGGGAGTGCGGATGTATGGGGAGTGCGGATGTATGGGGAGTGCGGATGTATGGGGAGTGCGGATGTATGGGGAGTGCGGATGTATGGGGAGTGCGGATGGATGGGCAGGGGCACAAGGGGGGAACGATAACAAGGACTTATTCAGTCGACTTTTGCGCAATCCAATCGAAAGTCGTTCAAAAAAAATACCAACCGCCACCCCACCCCAACCCCCTCTCTCCCAGGCCCCCTCCTCCCCCCTCTCTCGCCCCTCTCCCTGTTCAATCTCTCTTCACCCGTTACTAACGGACCGTGTGTCCCCATCTATCGCGCGGGTTGACTCTCGCGCCGCGCGCCAGCAGCAGTTTAAGCACGCCCAGGTGACCCTCGCACGCCGCTAGGTGTATCGCGGACCGGCCGTCGTAATCCGCGCTATTGACGTCCGCGCCTTCGTCTAGAAGCCGCGTCAACTCGTCCACGTCGCCTTGGCTCGCGACGAAAATCATGTTCGTCATTCGCGAAAGCTGGTCCTGCCACTTGCTCTGCGACGACGACCCCTGCGAATGCGTCGAACCGTGCGACCCGTGTGATCCGTCGCGCGCGCTTCCCCCTCCGCCATCGCCGCCGCCTCCGCCGCCGCCGCGGCCATCGCCGGCGGCCCCGCTATGGCTGGGAGCAGCGGAGTTGCCGTTTACTGCGGCGGGAGACGCGCGCGCGCCTGATCCCCCGGCTGCGGGGCTTCCGCCGACTGCTGCTGCGGGAGCTCCCGCGGACGCTCCGCCAACTCCCCTTCCCGCCCCCATGGGCGCAGCTTCCCCTGCCGATACTACTCCGCCTAAGCTTCCTCCGCTAAAGCGACTATACACCGCGCTGTGATTCCCAGTCCTATCTTGTAGCTTCTACGCTGCTGCTACAGCCGCTGCTACAGCCGCTGGTACAGTCGCTGAAGTGTCACGTGGACGCCTGCAGGCAACACACCGACAGTCCTCCTCCCAAGCTTACTAACTTCGCGACATTCCTATGATCGTGTCTTCCGCAACCCGCCGCATGGCGACGATTCCTCGTGTCACGGCGTCTATGCTGCGCGACAGCCAAACTGTGCGAGAGAAAGACCGACTGAGCTCGGCTTGCTTCCTTCACGCCAAGTCTGAGAAGCCTTGCATTGCTCTGACCTTATGCGACGAGTTTAGAGGCACCTCAGAAGAAGCCTAGCATTGCTCTGACGCGACGTCGTCTCCCTCAAGTCAGAGAACAAACCCGTGCGCCGATAGCGGTGCGGAAAGACGTGCGGGAAAAGCGGGAAACATGGAGATGGAGAAAAAAAAAAACGTACGCCCGTAAGAACCTGTGTACAATGCAGTGGGCGGGAATAATCCTACTTATTCACAATGTATGGTCCTGTTGGAGTGATTCACGATTCGCATTAGTCCGAGCCTATTGCCGACTTTGAGTCCAGTGACGACTATGATCTGTGCATACTCGGCATACGAATAGAGGCGAACTGACTTGTCGATTTTTGAGTCGACTCAAAAATTGACTAACTATACTTGGCATATGAATAGGGGCGAACTGATTTGTCGATGCGGCTCGTGTGGCGGAAAACCTCTAATACAGTAGCACTCTAAATACCCGCACGGAGCTGTCTAGTACTTGGTGGAAGAGTACGTGTTCGCGACGCGACTGTGCCATCCACGTGAACACTGACTTAGGACGCGGTGAAAGTAGACGATCGATCGTCAGTCACGATCGGTGTGCGGCTCGGTTACCCTATTTTCTACGCTGTAACCATTCTACAGTACACTTTTTTGCCAAAATTTCTCTACAGTGTGTGAATACGACTGATCACTGATCGCAGGAGATTTGTCAAATCTCAGCTGCGATCGTTACAATGTCGCGGTCGCCATGTTTCGCCAATCGATCTGCACACTCGATCACGGGGATCGATATGTGCAGACGATCCTGCGATATTTGCACTTTCAGCGCGTCCTTATTTCACATAAACAAGGTGGAAGGGAGAGGGGAGCAGGGGAGGATGTGTCTGAGGTGGTATTGAGGATGTCAAGTGGAAAGTTGAGAAAAGGCGGGATTGGAAAGGTAGGAGGAGGGACAAGGTTGGCGGGAAAAAAACTAGTCCTACTCGGCAGCACCACCATCCTCAATAGAGTGCTTTCAGTGCATTTCGGTAAGGTTTGTCACGGTTAACAGCGATTCTGGGCCAAACTAAGTGCAATTTCAAGGCGTTCACCTGCACCACTAGGGGGGGTACTGGGGCGCGCGCGGTTCTCTCCCCCCCCATGGGACTGCCGAGCTGACGAGCACGTGGTCAATTTTCTCGTGAAAAAGGCCACCGCCCAGGCCTCTCGATGTGTTTTTGGGCACCCTGCCAGAAGCGAGTCGTGGCCGACCTTCACCCTGCCACTGCAGTGTGCCAATCGCGGCATACTCAGGAATTGGCAGGGTGTTTTGTCAGTTCTTGTCGGAACTGGCAGGGTAGAAATCTCGCTAACACTGCTGAGCTCTGCAGACCCGCTCTGAGCAGGACTTCGTCAAATTACAGCCTGTTCCGTCACTGAGCGAGCTTAGCGTGTTAAAGGGACTTAACTAAGTTTCCAGCTTGTCCCAGCGACAAGACAAAGTTCTGGTGTGTTTCTGTGACTCGCCGAATTTCGTAAAGCTTGAGTGACTTCGCCGAATTTCCAGTATGTTTCAGACTTCGCTGAATGTCCAGTGTGCTCCAGTCACTTGGGCGAATTCTCTGAGTGCTTCAGTGACTTGGCCAAGTTCCAGTGTTTCAGTGACTTCGCTGAATGTCGAGTGTGTTCTAGGGACTTAGGCGGATTTCCAGAGTGCTTCAGTGACACAGCCAAATTTCCAGTGTGTTTCAAAGACTTGGCAGCATTTCCAGAGTTTCAGTGTCTTAGCCAAATTCTCTGACTTAGCTGAAATTGGAGAGCACGAGAGTTCGACCCTCAAGGACTCCTTAGCAGGGTGAAAATGAAAAGGCAGGGCTGACAGGATGCTCTCACCTGGAATTGAAGGGTACGGTTTTACTCATGTCAAGGCGTGTCAGGGCGGTACAAGCGTCGAAGTCAATTTCAGCAGGGTGACCTTAAAAATTCACTCTGAAAAACAGGCTAATCAGGGTAAAATACCCTGACTTCCTGGGGCCTGCCACCGCCCCACCCCCCAACCCAGAACAGAACAAATGTGAGGTGACCCACGTGGGGATGGGGAAGGACGGTAGTTCCCCTATATAGTTCTCTTCAGTAAGGTTCTACCCGCAGCTACACTCGAATTGGAATTTCAAAGTATGTACAGTAAATCATCAACCCCACATGCCAAAAAAAAAGTACCCTGCTCCTTGCACCCTCGCCGCGCCACCCATTTCTCCCTCCCACCCACGCCCTTTTGGTGTGGTTCAATCTCCAGTCGTCACAAAAATAATCGCAGCGTTCAAGCCGGCGCTCTCGCTGCTGGCCGTTCCCTGCCGTTCAGTGTAGAGCAGGCTTTTACAGGACATTGAAAGTTGACGCATCGGCGACGACTTCGCCAGCCGTCAGCGCCAATTAGTAAGGCTAGTGTGGGTACGCTATTCTTATTAGCGAAACAGGTGGCCACATTAACGCTTACTTCGTAGTTCTTGTTTAATTTGGTTGGCGCTTATCTAACTGAGAATTTTCCTGCCTCGACCTGCTATTGCCATTCCTTTCAGTTTTTTTATCGTATTCCGCCTTAGATTGGTCAGCCACTTCGACGAGTTTTTGCCACGAATACACGTGGCAGTGACTCAGCCATTCATGGATACACCGTCAACTGAGTCCGCTCTGGCGTCGGATTCTTCCACGTCAGCAGAGGACGTGGAGGAGGTCGAGATTGAGGTGGTCGA